CCCAATGCCTGATCGCGCAGTCGCACGTTATTTTGCTCCGGGGCAAACAGCCACGCCTCCCCCCTGCATTTTCCTGCCCGTGTGGCCGAGGCCTTAGGGAGATATACTAGAGACCAGGAGCCCCCTTCTATAGGTCAGCATGTACCTCAGCATGTTATGCTGCATTTTTGCAGTCGGGTTAAATAAAGCTGTTAAGCTGATACAGTCCTTTTTGTTTCTGCCTGCCCTTTGTAGATGTTTAAGCAGATGCTGTCTGAAAAGCAAGAAAAATGGGAGAGCTTCAAAAAGGAAGGGTCGGAGCGGATGGCTGAGCTGGCCGACGTCTTTTCAGGAGTCAAGCCCTTAACCAGAGTGGAGAAGAATGGTGAGCTGCAGAAGAAATCGGGCTTTTGTTTTGTAGACTAGGGTCCCCAACCTGTCAAGCCTATGGGCACTTTTGGAATCCAGAATGGGATGGTGGGTACCAGTGTTCCCTCTAAGCTTAGTTAGTGTGAGCTAGCTCACAGTTTCTTAGCCTCCGGCTCACACATTTTTGTCTTCGCTCCAGAAGGATGGCTCCAGAGCAGACTTATTTATGCAGTAGCCAAATCGCTCCCTCACAACTTTAATGCCGGTAGCTCAGGAAATAGAATTTTTGCTCACAAGATGCCACAGCTTAATGGGAGCGTTGGTGGGTACAACCACAAAATGGGTGCCCTGGGAGGCAGTCTCTCTCATTCACACGCACACCCACACTCTCACACACACATACACAGAGGAATCCTAAGCGCAGGGGAAAAGAAAGGGTAATGTTCAAAAATACAGTGGGAAGGAGGAGTGAGAAAATGGGTAATGTTCAAAAATACAGTGGGAAGGAGAAAATAAAACCAACACTGTGATGGCATCAACCACTGAAACCTTTTCAATAATATCCACACCCATTCAGATCTCCAATAGCCAACTGGATGCCCTGTTGGGCATAAACCCCATCCACTTTTCTAGAAACACTTGGTACATGCCAGGAAAGGCATTGGCAGGTGTCATGATTCATGCCGGGGACCCCCGTTGTACCATAAGGATGTAACGGACAGCTTTATACCGAGTCAGACCATTCCTCTAGCTGGCTGCTGGGTGCGCTTGACTGGCAGCAGGTCTGCAAAGCCTCAAGCAAGTCACCTCCCAAGGCTTGCGAACTGCAGGTGAAATTGAAGCAAGGTGTTCAGCGTTCCCAAATGTTTTTACATTGCAGATAGCAGCTGCTTAAAGGACCGATTCAGATCAGTATTTCAACACAGAGGCATTGGGGAGGGGGTAACCTTTTCCTCTCAGGGTGTTCCCCTTGGTCAAGTTGACCTAGCAGAGCAGGGGGTCGAAGATACAGGCACCAGACTTGTATTCTTGCCCTGGCTGCTCAAACAGCAGCTCTGTGGAAAGGTTTACATTTACCAGTTTGGCGTAGTGGTTGGGAGCACAGACTCTCATTTGGGAGAACCGGGTTTGATTCCTCACTCCTCCACATGCAGCTGCTGGTGTGACCTTGGGTCAGTCACAAGTTCTCTCAGAGCTTATTCTAGAAAGAGCAGTCCTCCAAAGAACTCTGTCAGCCCCACCTACCTCACAGGGTGTCTGTTGTGGGGAGGGGAAGGAAAAGGAGCTTGTAAGCTGCTCTGAGACTCCTTCGGGTAGTGAAGAACAGGGTATAAATCCAATTTCTTCCTCCTCCTCCTCCTCCTTCCTTCCCTATCTCTGCAGGGGTGGGTGGGGGACCATTCAGCTGTTGTTTATGATGTAAAAACCATCACAACTCTCAGCATTCTCATCTCATTGAACCCTTTAATTGGAGATGTCAGAGGTTGAACTTTAGGCGTTCCATGTGTCAGTCATACACTTGGTCACTGAGCTTGTCGCTTGTGCCAGGGTTTTTATTGGCTGATTTTATTTAGGAAGCTCAGATTTATGTATGAAGATGAGTAGTTTCCAAACTGTGTGCTTCAAGAGATTAAATAATTCGAGGCTTCTGTGAGCCCAATCAGTACCCACTTATGGAGGAGGATGCCACTGCATCTCGGCATGAGTTACTGATCTAGCTTTGCCTTGCTCTAGTCAACCCTGCGAGGGGTGAGCAGTGCTCTTTCGTCTGCACACTGTGTTTAGTGGGGAGCATTCAGTCACTCCTGAAGCTGGCAAGCCGCTGAGCCTTCAGAGGAGGCTGCCTGTTGTGTTTCTGTATGCACTTGCCTGTGCTCTGAGTTTACATCCCTTTGTGTAGGAGGAATGGTCAGGAGTGGAGAGTGGAGAGTACTTTCTCTTACATGTTCTACCAATAAGTTTCTCAGATGTAAGGATGAAGCAGGCTTTCCATTTTATTGGACTGTGAGGCAAGGTACCCTCAGAAGCTCCGAAAACAATGGTGGAGGTATTAGCTTTTACAGATCAGCTGGTCTGTAAAATGTTTCTGTGGCATTTTTGTTTTCTTCAGAATCTTCATCCACGTTTAGAAATTTAAGGTGTGCGAACTGAGGGTTTGATCTTTTTGTCTGTGGATTTAAAATGAACGCAATTAAAAGCTTTTCTTTTTCTCCCCACACTTTCCCATTTCCACAGAAAACCTGCAGGCCTGGTTTCGGGAGATCTCTAAACAAATAATGTCTCTAAATTACGACGACTCGACTGCAGCAGGCAGAAAAACTGTGCAATTGATACAAGCTTTGGAAGAGGTGAGGCGGGGGGGGTTAAGGGAAGCTGTATTTTTGAAGCATGAGTAGAACAATATGCTTTACCAGATGCAGAGGGCTCTTTTTGTAGCAGGTACTCATTTGCATATTAGGCCACACACCCCTAATGTAGCCAATCCTCCAAGAGCTTACAGTGGCCCCTGTAAGATGGGCTCTGTACGCTCTTGGGCGATTGGCTACATTAGGGGTGTGTGGCCTAATATGCAAAGGAGTTCCTGCTATTCCCCTGCATTCGGGAGTAGTTGGACCGACAGCCATCCATTCTTATGGGAAGGAATTCCCTGGGTGGGGGGAGGAAGGAGGAGAGCAGACTTGGAGGATCAATATAAACCTTTGACTTCATAGTGGCCTCTCAAAGGGAGGCCTCTGGCAGTGCCGCTCTAACAAGAATCACACCCTTCTAAGTCTGTTGAAGTCAGTGGGCTTAAAAGGGTTCAGCTTGCCTCAGGATGACACTGTAAGAAGCCAGTTTGACTCGGTGAACGGCACTTGGCTTCTGAAAGGTGGGTCCCTTAAAAAGGTGGCACATCTCCCTCTGTCCCAAAAATTCTCTCAAATCACCAGAACAATGCCTAGGAAGTACCTGATTTGATGGTAAGAGCCTATCTCAGCTGGTTCATTTGTTAGGTAAAGGTTTCCCTTGCCCAAAAGCCAGTCGAATCCGACTCTAGGGATGCGGTGCTCATCTCCGTTTCCAAACTGAAGAGCCAGCGCTGTCCAAAGACGTTTCTGTGGTCATGTGGCCGGCATGACTAGACACCAAGGCGCACGGAACGCTGTTACCTTCCCACTGAAGGGGTACCTATTTATCTACTTGCAATTTCTTGCTTTCAAACTGCCAGGTTGGTAGGAGATGGGAGCTCACTCCCATCATGCAGCCCTCGGGTCTCAAACTGCTGATCTACCGACCTTCCGGTCTGCAGTTCAGCGTCTTAACCACTTGAGCCACCGCAACCCCCACAGGTTCATTCATCAGCAGAACAATATTCAGTCACTGTTCTCTCAGAGCTCTCTCAGCCGCAGCTACCTCACAGGGTGTCTGTTGTGGGGAGAGGAAAGGAAGGCGATTGTAAGCTGCTCTAAGTCTTCTTCGGGTAGTGAAGGGCAAGGTATAAAAACCAACTCTTCTTCCTCCTCCTCCTCCTCCTCCTTCTATTGTCTATGTATCAACAGAAGCCTCCTTTAGAAGTAGGCCAAGGGTGCCTCAAGTTGGAGCTGATTCATGGCAGCCCCATGCAGTTTCACCTAATGGGGTTTTCAAGGCGAGAGATGAGCAGAGGTGGTTTGCCATGGCCTTCCCCAGCTTAGCAGCCTTGGTCTTCCTTGGTGGTCCAAGTAGCGACCCTACTTAGCATCTGAACTCTTTGACAAGATATAGCTAATCTGGGCTACCAGGGCTGCTAAGCCTTTAGAAGTAGTTCCTGGTTAATTAAATGCATTGGAGGACACAGACGGTTCTGTAATTCGCTGCTCATTCACCCTGCTGATTGTCAAAGTGTTTTGCTAAGTGCATCTGATGCAATCCAGCCATTACCTGGTTTTTCTTTTTAGCGCACACTAAAGGAAGTATCCGTTGTGTGCGGAAGGTGACTGAGCTGTGAAATATATTCTCATGGGGTATTTATATACAATAAGGGGGGTTCAAAAGAAAGCCATACACATTGCTATGCTAAGGATTTAAATAGCTCTGTTATCTTTCAGGCATTTTAGTACGCATAAAGAAATCCCATAGAATCGTTCTAGTTCTTTTGGGGGGGTTGTTTTCCCACACAAGGTTCAAGAATTTCACCAGCTGGAATCCAACCTGCAAGTTTGCCAGTTTCTTGCGGACACTCGTAAGTTTCTCCATCAGATGATCCGGACCATCAACATTAAAGAAGAGGTTTTGATCACCATGCAGATAGTGGGTGATCTTTCCTATGCCTGGCAACTGATTGACAGGTATGATGCCAGTGGTCTTAGACTTGTTATTTTTTTTACTGCTGCCTCCTCCGTCAAGCGTAAGAAAAGCTGATCTCTTGATGTCTCCCCCACCCTTTCCTCCAGTCCATGTAGTTTATTTCAAGTTTATTTCAAGTTCTATGATTTATGGCAACCTGTGGGGTTTACAAGGCCAGAAACCAACAGAGTTGGTTTGCCATTGCCTGTCTCTCTGTAGTGGTCCTGAGCTTCCTTGGTGGTGTCCATCCAAATATGAACCAGGGTCACCCCTGCTTAGCTTCTGAAGTTGGTAGTGTCCCAGATGCAGGCTAGCTGCCTCTGTGGGAACCAGGCTTTAGAGTAACAGTTTTAGAATGCTGGTTCTGATCATCAATCTCTTCTTTCTTCCATCTCCCCCACACTTTCCTCCCCCCAGTTTTACATCTATCATGCAGGAAAGTATAAGGGCCAACCCATCTATGGTAACCAAACTCAGAGCCACCTTTTTAAAGGTAAGCAAGAAATATGGAACACTTAAATAAAACCAGCGTGGTATGGGTGTTTTTACAGAATATCGTGTGTGTTCCTGTGTGGCCACTGGCAGTATCATCGTGATGGGCACGAATCGGGAAAGTGTAGTTTGGTTTGTGGCATGCCCAGTTTGCAAACTGCAAACGGTCACAAATTTTTAGGAACTAAAATAAAGTTTGGTTCGCAATGTTTTGGATTTATGGGGTCTGAGTTACCGCCCACCCAAAGAAGGTGCTCCCAGGAAAGTGCTTTCTGCGGAAATGGCAGGTGGTCATTTCCCCAGAAAGCACTTTCCTGAGGGCACTGGGGGTCATTGACAAGTGGTCATTTTGACAGGCGCAGGTTCAGGAGGTTCAGGAGTGTATAGAATGGATCCTGGGCAAGCTAGAAACATCAAAGTCACAGGGGACCTCCTGCAGATGCTCCTCTACATGCCCTCCAAGTTCCATCCCCCTGTTGCTTTGAAGTTTGGTAAACATATAGATTGAGCAGAGACTATCTGGAAATATATCCATTCACGAACTGCCACAAATAATTTGAAAATTTGTGGAAAGTTCATGCCAGTTTTACCTGCCACAAACTTCACTTCATGAACCACAAACTGGCCAAAATTCATCACAAACTTTAGTTCGTGAGCCAGTTCATGCCCATCCCTACTTGGAACAACAACAGACCTTCAGTATTGTTTACATCAGGCCTCTCCAACAGGTAGCTTATGAACCCACCGGTAGCTCACCAAGTACAGCAGAGTAGCTCAGGAATCCCTTAGAAGACCCAGGAAAACATTGTGAAAAAAATCTGCCCTAGGCTGGGTGGCTTTTTTGTTTTTGTTTTGTAAGGCTTTTATTCGATCGGATTTTCTCTGTGCTGCTTAGTTTCATTTCTGGTGATCTTCCTAGTCCTGTTTCTAGGGCAAAAGAGAGGTCAAAAAATGCAAAGGTAAGAGAAGGTCAGGATATATCTCATTATTCAGAAGTAGCTCTCCTTAAAGAAAAGTTTGGAAATCCCCAGTTCACAAATCTGCACTCTGAATTAGAGCTCCTTACATTGCAGCCAAAGCATCAATAGTGTGCAGCAAGATCATTGCGTTGTCAAGCTTACTGCGTGCAATGCCATTTGTGGCTAGCCCCACTCACTACATTGATTCACTTGGGTGTGGCAGGGAAGTTTGCTGGGTACCCCCAAATCCAAGCGGAAGTGCCAAGGGGCACGTATTACTTAGGTCATATTCAGCTGTCTTACTAACCTATGTATCTCACCTATGTATAAAACCTATGTATATATGTACACAACCTATGTATATAATACCTTTATGGAAAGAGAAGAACCAAGAATTTCCTGACTGTGTAGTGATAGTTTATTCCTTACTCTAGGAGCCTAATCATGTTATGAGATTTAATTATGTTTCAAGTGCCACTGCTTTTCGGAGTACCTGAACTGAGGATGGGGGTGACTCCCACCACAGGAACAGGAAGTTCTTGGAAGTCCTGCCTCCCTGGAAAGAGGGTGGGAATCACCCACAATCGGATGTCCTCCAGTCCTCAGAGGAGAAGGACCTCTCACGGTAAGTACCAACGGTCGTTTATTCGATCGGATTTTCTCTGTGCTGCTTAGTTTCATTTCTGGTGATCTTCCTAGTCCTGTTTCTAGGGCAAAAGAGAGGTCAAAAAATGCAAAGGTAAGAGAAGGTCAGGATATATCTCATTATTCAGAAGTAGCTCTCCTTAAAGAAAAGTTTGGAAATCCCCAGTTCACAAATCTGCACTCTGAATTAGAGCTCCTTACATTGCAGCCAAAGCATCAATAGTGTGCAGCAAGATCATTGCGTTGTCAAGCTTACTGCGTGCAATGCCATTTGTGGCTAGCCCCACTCACTACATTGATTCACTTGGGTGTGGCAGGGAAGTTTGCTGGGTACCCCCAAATCCAAGCGGAAGTGCCAAGGGGCACGTATTACTTAGGTCTGCAGGCCAGGTCACTGCACAGCAGTTTGAAATCATTCTCCCTTTTGGTTTTTCAGCTGGCGTCGGCCCTTGATATGCCGCTGCTTCGGATCAACCAAGCAAACAGTCCTGACCTGCTCAGTGTCTCACAGTATTATTCCGGGGAGTTGGTGTCCTATGTGAGAAAGGTACACATAAACCTGCCTCATACTGAATCAGACCATTGGTCTATCAAAGTCACTATTGTAAGACAGAACCTCTGTCCCTGATTGTGTTTGCCCAGGCCAATTTGAGAAAACACACAAAAGCAGTCCTGTAGAGTTGGAAACCAAAAAAAAAATTATTAATTAATAAGGAAGAATACAGATTCAAGGGTTTTGGAACCCTGAATACCCAACAGATTCTTCAAGTGTTACAATGGGTGAAATAGCATTTTATACTTCACATTACATCAGAGAAATAAAACAGAATTATTGGTTCCATCAAACGTCAAATTTCATCACCTATTTCCCATTGGGTTAAGACCTGGGGGGGTGGCTGTTCCCAGGCAGAGTTCTTATTTTCCTAACAGAACAATACACTTTTCTTTCGGAAGCTATGAAGTTGCATGTTGTATCTCTATAACTGATATGGTTACAGAGTGCTTACTGTTCTTCATTCTAGCTAGGTTAACTCACATTAGAAACATGCGCAGTTGTAGCTGGCCAGAACAAGCAAGGTCATGGGTAGCATAACTGTGTATCAGCATTTCAGCCTTCTTCCCAGCATGCATTCAAACAACAGTCACAAATGAACCAAAGTTAATACCTGAATACATTCATGATGTCAGAATCATATGTACTATGGAAGTGCTAAGTATACCTACTAAGTTAAACCTGTTAGGCAGTGGCAGAGTACAAATTGGTTCATAAAATGAGCGTACAACACTATTGTCTGCGGTGGTGGCCCTACAGCGTCTCCAGCAGAGTTCTTCCACATTACCTACTACCTGGTCCTTTTAACTCTAGGTGCCAGGGATACAACCTGGGACCTTCGGTATGCCTGCAGATGCTCAACCCCTGCACCACAGCCCTTCCCACATTGCTTGTGGAATCCAGGCATTGTTTGCTTTTGCAATTCTTTTTCTGTACCCTAGAGAGCCATGTATTATTTTTATTGTTTGACTAAAGGTGTTGCAGATTATCCCGGAGAGCATGTTTACATCCCTCCTTAAGATTATTAAACTGCAGACGCATGATATCATTGAAGTGCCGACCCGCTTGGATAAAGACAAAGTGCGCGATTATGCTCAGCTTGGCCCACGATACGAGGTGAGTCGGAAGAGGCTAGAAGTACCAGGGGAAGAATAAATGCATGTTGGCTTTATTTTGTTAGTAATTAAATGTGAGGCCAGACAGTGTGTTCTTTTAAACAAAGATTCCTAGGAGGCAGTATCTTGCTCTATTTTGTGGGCCTACACTGATTCATGGTAGTCCAAGAAAATAGGATTCATGTAGTCCCTTTAGAGACAAACCAAATGTATTCCAAACAGAGCGTGGATGAGGCAGAGCTGACTTCATTAGATGCATGAGGTATACATCCATCTAAAGATATATGCATACTCAGGGCTCTTTTTGTAGAGAAAGCCCAACAGGAACTCATTAGCATAATAGGCCACACCCAACAGCAGAAATTCATTAGCATATTAGGCCACACCCCTGCCACCACAGCTCATTAGCACATTAGGCCACACCCCCATGTTACCAGAAGTGTGGGCATCCAGCCACACCCAACTTTTGCTTCTTATTCTGTTTACCTTGTTTGTTGTCAAAACCCAGGGCTTTTTTGTAGCAGGAACTCCTTTGCATGTTAGGCCATACACCCCTAATGTAGCCAATCCTAATGAGTTTCTGCTGTTGGGTGTGGCCTATTATGCTAATGAGTTCCTGCTGGGCGTGGCCAACTTGGGAGCCAACCGGAACTCCGTTCCTGTGCGTTCCTGCCCAAAAATAGCCCTGTGCATACTTAAAGTTACAGGCAAAAGTTACAGGAAAGACACTGGTTGATTGAAATGTCCGATATAAATATATCTTCTCTGGCTTTTCACTCAAAGCATCTGATGAAGTGAATTCTGACTCATGAAGGCTTATGCTGGAAAAAGCCTTTAAGATGTCACCCAACTCCTGTTTAATTTTGCTGTAACAGATCCGTTAGGTGGTGTGACAGGCCCATAGACGAAGCTACTTTATTCTGTGTGGCCATCTAGCCATTCATGCCATCTAGCCTAGTATTGTCAACTCTGTACTTACTGTCAACTGCTCACCAGAGTCTCAGGCAGGAGTCTTTTCCAGCTCTGCTGCTTAAAATCCTGTTGATTGGAGCTGCTGGGGGTTGAACCTGGGGTCCTCCTTCATGCAAAGCAGGTACTCTGCTACTGAGTTATGTCCTTTCTCATGTAGCAGCCTGTAAAACCTGTGACCCAGCAAGCCTCACTCACCTACCAGGTGTGTCTTTCCAGGTGTCTGGAGAAAAGCTGTTCTGCAGCCTCATACCAGGAACATGGGCTGGTGGCTAGGGAACTGTGCTTAGCTCTAAGGGGGCATGATGGCCCTGATTGGGTGGAAAGCTGGGCTATCAGGGGGGCATGGTGGCCCTGATTTTAATCATTGTGTCACAGGAAAGGGAGGGGTTCTTCAGTGGTGATTCTCTCCCCTCCCCCCATAACTGTTGTCGCTTTCCAGTTTTCATCTCTTTCTCCTGTTGCAGGTTGCCAAGCTTACACACGCTATCTCGATTTTCACAGAAGGCATCCTAATGATGAAGACAACATTGGTCGGCATCATCAAGGTAATGTCCCCTACTGCAGAAGACTGAACAGTGAAAAGCACTGGGCCCCCCCTGTATACGATCAGGGGTGGGGACATCCCCCCTGCTTCCCATGGGGTGATTTCCCCTCTGTCCGCTCTGCCTGGCAGCAGTGTCTCAGGGCTTCAAGCAAGGACTTTGTTTTCCCAGCCCGCCTACCTTCTTAAGGTTGCTACCTCGTGACCATTGCACATTCCATAAAGAGACCTTTTTTTTAACAAAAAAAAGGTCTACCATTTCCTTCCTAGCCAATGTAGATTTTACATTTGACTTCACAGATGCAAGAAATGCAAACAATCGAAGCATCACTTAAGCAAACAACTAAACTTAAGGTACACTCTAGATAAGCTGGGATGTGGATTTTAGGATGCCTTGGTTCAAGCCCAGCACTCCACTGGTACCTTGTGTAGCAGGTTCAAGAGAGCCAATGCGGTGTAGTGGTTAAGAGTGTCAGACTTGTGTCTGGGAGACCTGGGTTTGAATCCCCACTCACTTGCTGGGTGAACTTGGGCTAGTGACACTCTCTTAGCCTAACCTACCTCATAGGGTTGTTGTAGGAATAAAATGGAGAAGAGGAGGAGGCTGTAAGCTGCCTTAGGTCCCCATTGGGGAGATAGGTGGAGTATAAATGAAATAGATAAATAAAATGGGGGCATGCTTGGGAGTGAGCCAAAGGGGGTCATGTGATTTTTTGCAGATGTGTTCAAATCAGCAGCTGCAAAAAGAACACGCATCTGTCACAACCCCTGACCCAGGCCTTTCTCTTTGCTAAACATATTATTCCAACACCACTTTGCCAAAACCAAGTCGCTCTAGCAGGAGAACTATGAACCACCTCACTACTCGCACCCTCCTGTTATGTCACCATTCCAGGTCCACTGTTTAACTTTAGGTCTGTGAGGTAAAGTGGAGTGGATTCCTTTTATTAGTGTCTTATTTTACACACACAGGATTTTTTAAATCGTGTACCAGAGATCACATAGGCTACAAAAAAAATATCCATTTTCTCTGGTTTCTGTAGAGTGTGTAGTGGGTTATATAGGTTGAGAATACTGGGAGGGGCACATATATAACAAAACACATAAGTTTATTTAGTTTGTAAGTGGCACCTATAATACTTCGGTATGCCTGCAGATGCTAGCCTGGTAGCTGACTTTGGCCCCGGTCACACGGAGCATTAGGCACGCTAGAGAGACGGAAGATAGGCGGATTTTCCGGGCGCGATCTCACCGCCACATCTGGGAAGCGTAGAGCTCCCGTGGCTCACCCAAGGCTTTACTCCGAAGATGCGCTGTAAAAAACTAGTACCTCCGAGGTACTAGTTTCCAGAAACCGCGGGGCAAGGGCGGGCGTCAGATCACATTTCCGGTGTTAGCTCATGGCATCCGGCGCCCGCCCATGTTTCCATCGCGAAAAGTGTTTTTTTTTGTCAAGTCTCCACGGGTGTGCACAAGCACCCAACGGCGCATGCGAACACTTGGGTTAAAAAAAAAACCACAACCCTCGCGACACCGCTTCTTTGCCACGCCGCGGGAGTGAGGTATGATCGGCACCTCCCCCCAACCACGGGATGTCGGCGGGACGTTGGGTGAGACATTTGATCCGGCTGCTGCGCGGTAGTTCGCTCCGGGGCAAACAGCCACGCCTCCCCCCCCCGCGATATCCGGCCCGTGTGACCGGGGCCATAGTTAAGCAGCACTGGGATGTATGTTGCACTTAATGGTTACAACGCCGGTTCTTTCAGCATTTCAAACTTAAAGACTTAAAAACTTAAATCCAGCTTCAACAAGTCACTGTTTTTATCACAGCACCCAAACCATGTGTAAAGTCACATGCTACAGTTCCTAGTGGACTCCCTGCCTAGCCCAGGATACTTTTTCCCTCCAAATCCAAACTCTCATTTTGTCCGTTGGTTGTTGACAGTTAAACTCCCCTCAGGTGTTTGTTTTTTTCTCCACTTCAGCATTCCATTTAGCTTCTTTGAACCCGATTGGTCGTCTCTAAACAGGGAGAAAAGAAGGCAGAATTTTCTCCTGTCCATCACAGCATCCTTCAACTGCCTTTCATTTCGGGGTTTGCTCCGAAGTAGGGCAGAAATATTTGCCTTTTCAGAGTGAGCACGATGCTTATTGTCATGTCTTACAGTGCCATCACTAAGCTAAATCTAATTGCTGCTTACCTCTGCAATGTCATCTCATTTACAACGTGATCCCCAATTTGCTAGAAACTCCTATATGTCTGTTCCCCAGAAGAAGAAGGAACTGAAAAATGGGGGCCAAAGCAGTCAATCACAAAAACAGCCCTGACAAAACACACCAAATGGGGTGAATGTGTGGGGAGGTTAGGGTCTTTTGTGTTCAGAAGCAAACTTTGCTCTTGGGGGGGGGGGAGCAAGGTGGGTTAACATTTGGCACAGCCCTAAGTAAAAATGCACACCATAGGTTACATTTTATTACCCAATAGCAGAAGCATAATTTCAGCCCCACCTACCTCACAGGGTGTCTGTTGTGGGGTGGGGAAGGGAAAGGAGTTTGCAAGCCACTCTGAGACTCCGAGTGAAGGGTGGGGTATAAATCCAATCTCTTCTTCCTCTTCCTCTCTTGTAGAAGGATTTTTTATAGCTAAGACTTTTTTGTATTTGTGCATACTCAGGTGGACCCAAAGCAGCTGCTAGAAGACGGGATAAGGAAGGAGCTGGTAAAACGTGTTGCCTTAGCTCTGCACCGCGGACTCACCTTCAACCCTAAAGCCAAGGTGCTAATCAAATCCTCCACATTTTTTCCCCTTTTTCTTCTTACATACACAAGTCATCTGTGACTACTTCTTATCAGTGTATAGAATATAAAATCTTAGAATATAGAATGCAGGTTTCTTTGTTCCAGGTTTCTCTTCTCCTTTTTTAACTGTCAAAAAGGCCAGTTTTCATTTGTGCCATGCAGACTTCTGACATATTCTTAATCACGCACATGCTGACCCCATGAGCAGAATTCAGCACCATTTAGGGATTTGTTTTGCCAAAAGTTGATTCATGGGGCCACTACTATGCACAGTATCTGTGGCCGGAAAATCGTCATAGATTTGCTAAAAACTATGGCCAGCACATGTTGAGAGGCTCATTCGAATGACCCCTTGGTTTAAGCTGTTTCACAGTAGATCTGGTTTGGCATGAAGACTTTGCAGGACCGTGAGTTGTACAGAAGCTGCAAATAAGAGATCCTGCAAGTATACTCTTGTGACAATTGCTGTCAATGATGGTGTGTATAGCAATTTTTCAGGGCACAGATGATGTTACGGCCCTTGGCAAGAGTCACCTCTGTAGCAGCCCTATTTGAAATGAAAGTGAGATCTCTCCTTGGCATGCTGAAACTTCCCTCCCTTTCACAGCCCAGCGAACTCATGCCCAAGCTGAAAGACATGGCAGCCACTATGGATGGGTTCCACCGCTCCTTCGAGTATATCCAGGATTACGTCAACATTTACGGCTTAAAGATTTGGCAAGAAGAAGTGTCCCGGATTATCAATTACAATGTGGAACAGGAATGCAATAACTTCCTACGGACAAAGGTACGAGAAATGCTGGCTGATGAATTTTGGAATGTTTGGACTGTTTTTAAAAATGGCTGGGGTGTGTGTGCAACCCTGTGATTTATTCCACTGGTTAAATCACCTGGAGGCGGAAGTCCCATCCTTCCATTCCGTGTGCCCCACTGGAGCTGCGGCTGGAGGTGGTGCTGCCCCAGTTAATCCAGAATGTTTTTTAAAAAAAACAATTTTATTAGGATATATCAATAAGTCAAACTATACATCATCTTATCAACTATCTTATATCCTTTTCTCCTAGTATCCCCCCCCCTTCTGACTTCCCGCAGTGCTCCAATCTCCATTCCAAATCTTATATTTTTCCTCTTTTTTCCCTTCTTCAGTAATTAAACTCTTCAGGTAACATATCTTTTAACTGCTGTTCTTACATGTTTAAGCTAACTCTCAATGTCCTTCTATCTTCAGTAGTTATCAAAGCAAAATAGATTATTTTTCACATCCCAGTATTTCTCTAGATATTTTTTAAGGTCTTTCCAGTCTGCAAAGAATTCTTCCACTTCCTGATTCTTGAGCTTTCTTGTCATTTTGTCAATTTCAACCATAAAAAGTAACTTTTTTAGCCACTCCCAGATCCCGGGTGTTTTTTCTTGCTTCCAACATTGAGCATATGTCATTCTGGCAGTTGTAATCATATACCACATTAAAGTCCGTTTTACAATGTTGACTTCTTCCATTTTAAGTCCCAAAAGTAACATTTCAGGCTCCTTCTTAATTTTACATTTCATAATTTTCTCCATCTCATTATGAACCTCAGTCCAAAAATCTTTTGCTTTGTCACAAGTCCACCACATATGGTAGAAAGAACCCTCTATTCTTTTACATTTCCAACATTTGTTTGACATATTACTGCTTATATTTGCTATCTTTTTTGGTGTCATATACCATCTATACAAGTTAATCCAGAATGTTGTGCTGCAGAGTAGTAGGTGAATATGCTCTGCCATACCAGTAGCAGCAGCCAGAAACAGATGCAGCATGTTAACTTGCACAAAACTTCTTGATCTTGCACAAAACCATTAAGGACCACATAGTCTTGCTTGGCATGGACGGTGAGTTAGGCCAAACTTAAGGGAGGACTTTGAGGAGGTATTTACTAAAGCATTCAGATGGCAGGAACGATCTACATTTGGCGGGGGGGGGGGTGAAGTGACTTCAAATTGCAGCTGACTTATGGCGACCCCATAGGGATTTCAAGGCAAGAAGGGAGGGCAGGAAGGGTTGCATCAGTGCTTGGTTCTCATGGCCCTTTCTTACACGCCCAGGGAAAAGCTGATCACCACTTTGGGGTCAGGAAGCAATTGTTCTCCAGGCCAGATGTCATCTTCTGAGCATGGAACAGGGGTCATTGGGGGTGTGGAGGGGGAGGTATTCATGAATTTCCTGCATTGTGCAGCGGGTTGGACTAGATGACCCTGGAGATCCCTTCCAGCTCTATGATTCTATTAGAGACGGTTTGCCATTGCCTGCCTCTGCATGGCAACCCTGGAATTCTTTGGTGGTCTCCCATCCAAATACTAACCAAGGCCCACTCTGCTTAGCTTCTGAGATCTGACCTGGGCCACCCAGGTCAGGGCTTACATTGATATCCTTTTTCCTTAATGCCCCACCACCACCACACACACACCAGTAAAGAGCTCTGTGGCCTGAGCTTGATCGCATGGGTCCAAAGCACTTTCTTTTCCCTTCCCTGATGTGAGATGCTCAGAGTGACTTTATGCAGCAGTTCATCCAAAAAAAAAAATTAAGACTGTTCCTGCCAGTTTTTGATTGGTGCCATTTTTGATGTCATATTTGTGTCCACTCTTATTACGTAGAACCTAATTTCTGTGTCCAGTATGGATATCAGAAAGGTATTTTTGGCACGTGATGGCTTATATTAAATTTGATGATGAGCCGGTAGATGAGCCCAAGATAGTACAGTGGTGATGTTATTAGATCCCCTAAAAATGAAATATATATGGGGACAAAGTGGACATCTGGGTCTATTGCAGGATGTGGTTCCTGAGTTTGTGTCCTTGCTGTTTGGGCCACTGTTATTGATGGAAAGCTATTTTAGCTTGGGAGGCAGTCTGTAAATGGGGAAAGTCCTGCCACGAGGCCTGTGAGAGGAAAAATACTAGTATCCAAGACAGGCTGCAAGTCACTGATGATGCTTTCAAGCGGTTTAAGTTGTGAGCTGTAGGCGACACCCAGTTGTTTGCTGTCATCTGTGTTGGGCCTGTCTTGTAACAGGCTGTCACTGGGTCCCAGTCTGACTTTGTTGATCTGCTTCTTTAGTTTACTGGGCTGGGTATTTCAAACCTGAGAATGTCTGTTGTCAATCATGCAGGTGAGACCGGCGTCCTTGTCTGAGGGATCAAAGAAGAATAATTTATAAAGTGGCTCTTGTCTGTAGACCATGGATCGTTCTGTGTTTCAGGTGGTAGTCAGAAGCATGTAGGCACGCTTGGTCTTGCAGTATAGGATGGTGCTTATGTGCCCTTCGCATAAACCTGCTTCACAAGTTACAGTGATCACATGTACATGTGTGCATCTGTTCGTAAGACACAACGTGCATTCACTTTACAAATTATCTTATTTACATAAAATATGTAAAATTACATATTTGTAAATAAAATACTCAACATTTCTCCCAGGGACTCAAGGCGGATTACACATAATGAGTCACTACAGTCAACAAAATGAGACATTCAATAGAAGAAGAGGAGGAGGAGGAGGAGGAGGAGATTGGATTTATACCCCGCCCTTCACCTGGAGTCTCAGAGCGGCTTACAAACTCCTTTCCCTTCCCCTCCCCACAACAGACACCCTGTGAGGTGGGTGGGGCTGAGAGAACTCTGACAGAAACTGCTCTTTTTCAAGGACAGCTGTGCCAGAGCTTGTGACTGACCCAAGGTCACATCAGCAGGTGCAAGTGGAGGAGTGGGGAATCAAACCTGGTTCTCCCAGATTGGAGTCCGCACACTTAACCACTACACCAAACAAGCTCTTGGGATTGTAGAAGTCTGGAAGTAAACCAGAAAGAACAGAAGTGTAGTATGACATATTAAGCAGTATGGAAAATACATAATAGGATCCTACTTGCAATAAGCTGTATATAGCAGTATAGAATCACCAAAAGCTGAACACGACTGGTTGCTTTATACTGCTGTTGTTGTTCTTAGCCAAAGTCCCAATCATTTATCCAAGTAACTTTGTGAACCATTTTGTACAGTGCAACCGTTATCTGTTTGCCCTGTTATAAACAAAACTGGTGACCAATGTCTGGATAAATGTGGGGTTTAAATCTACAATCCCAAGAGCCAGTTTGGTGTAGTGGTTAAGTGCACGGACTCTAATCTGGGAGAACCAGGTTTGATTCCCCACTCCTCCACTTGCACCTGCTGATGTGACCTTGGGTCAGTCGCAAGCTCTGGCACAGCTGTCCTTGAAAAAGAGCAGTTTGTGTCAGAGTTCTCTCAGCCCCACCCACCTCACAGGGTGTCTGTTGTGGGGAGGGGAAGGGAAAGGAGTTTGTAAGCCGCTCTGAGACTCCAAGTGAAGGGCGGGGTATAAATCCAATCTCTTCTTCTTCACTGTAACTTAGTCTAACAGTAGCATCCAGAAAACATTGTGTGGGCAACCCTTTTGAAATTATCATCACCTGCTAGCAGAATGGATCCGTGAAATCCAACCCATTTACATTTTTTTCCCTTTCATTTCTGTGACAAGTCCACACCTGCACACTCGTACTGACATTTTTCTGCTGTGTTGGTTGTCTTGTCCCTTTGCTGGATTCCTTCTTTCTGATAGCATCCTTCTCTTCCTGCTGTGAAAGTGTCAGAGGTACGGAAGTGATTCATAACCACACAAAGTGTTGTTTTGCCTCCCCTCCCCTCCCCACCTTCAGTCTTCTGCTCTTCCAGATGCATGGGCTATGAAAGTGACTGCCGCACATTCAGGAAATGGAAGATCCAAATACAGACAGAAGCATTTTCTGAATGTTGGCAATGACCGGTGAACGTCAAGTGTAAAGCCAGCCTAGAGCATCCAAGCAGACCATCCTCATGTTAGCACTGTGAAAATGATAGGGCTGGCTGCAGAGGATGATGGTACAAATAAGCATTTGCTAGTTCCCGCCATGGGCATACAGCCCACTTTCCCTGTTATTGCCACTCTTCCCACTACTAATGGAACACCCAAGGATGCCAGAGTTGACATGAAGGAATCCTTACTATGCATGCCCCTCCTCTGCCTGGTTAAGGGAACCCAATGAGCATGCCAGAAAAAGGACCCTCAACATTTTTGGTTTGGCGCTGCATAGAGATTCTATCGTACAAACAGAAGCAATAGAATGTTTTTAAATACAATTTGGAATTGGGTCCATTCCAGCAGAAGGCAATAGGAGCCTTCCCCTTAAAGCAAACGTTTTGTTAAACAAGGATTGCACTCCGAATAATTTCAGTATCTGTCTTTCAGATTCAAGATTGGCAAAGCATGTACCAGTCCACTCATATTCCAATACCCAAATTTGCGCCCATAGACGAATCTGTTACATTTATCGGTCGACTCTGCCGAGAGATTCTGAGGATCACAGACCCTAAGTGAGTCGTATATGGAATTTACATATATTCTCCTACGTATTGGGCTAGTTCTAGTAGCATAGCATTTGCATAATTGTGCATAAAATCATGGCTGTGCCGAAATTTCACCCAGACTAATCTGGAACAAAAGACCAGGGTTTTTTTCCCCCTAAGGTAATCCCAGCCTATTTTGGATCTCATAGGCAAGATCGTAATATCATGGTGTCATACAGCCGATCATATTTTTCAGCAAAATGATATCATGAGTGCAAATTGAAGTCCATGGAATGTCCTACCCTCACTCTGAATAGGTTAACTTCTCCCCCATTTTGCACAGCCCGTATGAACAGTTATCAAAAGGAGGGGTGTTTCACTGCAGGGAAGGGTTTCTCACAAAACATGCATACAAGTTACATTTCAGTTCAGCACTAATGTTCATTTCCATAATGTTTGGCACTGAATTTACCTTGATTATAACAATACTTTGAATATCTCCTTAGCAAATGTGGCTGCATTCTAGGGCCATTTTGAACTGGTGGCCAATCCTTGGCACATGGGTGGGATCCCACTGGTTTTTTTACTCAATCTCTCCCAATTCCCTTCCTTACTGCCTCTCCTGTCCCACATGGATTTTGGCCATGTAGGCTCCATGATTCCCAGTTTATTTGGGGTGGGGGTCCAGTGGCAAAACCTTCCTACTTTTTCACCAGCAGAGAAGCTGGTGGAGCCAACGTTAGAGGACCCTTCCGTAGTATCTGAAATACACCGTCTCTTTTTCCTGTTTCCCATCAGAGTTGCTTGCTACATCGACCAGTTGAACACCTGGTATGATATGAAAAATCATCAGGAAGTGACCAGCAGTCGGCTGTTTTCAGAGATCCAAGACACTTTGGGCACCTTTGGCCTGAACGGTTTAGACAGGCTTCTCTGCTTCATGATCGTAAAGGAGCTTCAGGTAAGACATACTTGGGACCAGCCCGTTTTCAAAGCAGTTCAGGGAAGTGTCTCAGAAAGACAAACACTCCGCGCCTTTACATTTATCCATGTTTGCGATGCATGTTTCTGAGTGAAACATGGGTTCCGTTCTGTGTTTATTCTCATGGCTGAGAATCTGGGGGTTACTGTTGATTCAACCAGATTCACTACTGTGGAAGGCCGTTAGCGTTGTAGCCAAGTTACTGAAATTAAACAAGGAAAACAAGGAAATGGTATTCCAATCAGCACTTGATCAGGTAATATGCTGTGCAGCTGTAGTGTAGTGGTTAAGTGCGCGGACTCTAATCTGGGAGAACCGGGTTTGATTCCCCACTCCTCCACTTGCACCTGCTGATGTGACCTTGGGTCAGTCACAAGCTCCGGCACAGCTGTCCTTGAAAAAGAGCAGTTTCTGTCAAGAGTTCTCTCAGCCCCACCCACCTCACAGGGTGTCTGTTGTGGGGAGGGGAAGGGAAAGGAGTTTGTAAGCCGCTCTGAGACTCCAAGTGAAGGGCGGGGTATAAATCCAATCTCCTCCTCCTCCTCCTTATTATAGAACTTGCCTGTTGGAAGCCTGGCGGGGGTGTGTGTGAGAGTCACTGGCACCTTCAGTGGGACTGTGGCAACTGGATCTCGCTGCAGGCAACTGCCAGGGTACATTGCTGTGTACCGATTTCAACAGAGTTGCCCTGGCAGAAGGAAATGGGTCTCGTTCTAAGGGTCAAGCTAGAGCCATTTATTGGGCTATTTGCGCTGGTTCCCAAAGTGGGCAGTACCGCCCCCTTGGGGGTGCTTGAACGATCCAGGTGGGCTGGAACGATCCAGGTGCAGATCCACAAACTGCATCTTTTTGTCCACTTCTTGAAGGTAGATGTCCAGGGGGGCGCTAAGTAATTTATTTTTTCTGAAAAGGGGGCGGTAGGCCAAATAAGTTTGGGAGCCTCTGGGCTATTGCCTTCGTTGTTCCATGCAGCATACTTGTGAAGCTAGATAACAGCCGTGCCCTTTTACACACTGGACAACTGATGGAAAGTTGTGTGGTTTGCCAAAAGCCCTTCTTTGTAAGGGCACAAGAAGTAACTTCTGCATGTTTCTAATATATATATAAATAGTGGTGTCATACATGTCTCATTGAAGCTGCCTTATCCTGAGATAAACCCTTGGTCTGTCGAGGTCAGTGTTGTCTACTCAGACCGGCAGTGGCTCTCCAGGGTCTAGGACAGATGTAACTTGCTTCACCTGCTCCATGCTCCTTTTAACTGGAGATGTCAGGAATTGAACCTGGAACCTTCTAAGTGCAGATGACATGCTCTACTACTCAGCCATGGTCTCTTCCAGCATACTTCAGTGATAAACTTTTCCAAAGGGCATAACTTATCAAGACAATATTTGCATGTGTGTCACAAAATTGCCCCCCATCTTTAGGGAAGGTTGTCGAAATAATTGCTGAATGCCATTTGTTGATTGGTTATTCACTGTGGTTTTTACTGTTCTTTCCGCTATTGCTGCTTTTGAGTTCGCTGCTGTTATTTTTTTTTAGTTCCTTTAGTTACCTAGTCTGCTTTTTAACTCTTCATTGTAAGCTACCTGTCCTTGACTGAAGCTTTAATGGTAATAAAGGTAGATTTGGCTTTCCCCCCCCAGAATTTCCTCAGCATGTTCCAGAAAATGGTGCTGCGTGATAAACCAGTCCTCGATGCCTTGAAAGTGCTCATGAATTCCGTCAATCCTCTTAAAGGAATTGTGGGTAAGTTCCATGAGCCGGAAGTCTTGGGTAGGAAATAAATTCTCACATGGGGAGTCGTTGGTGTGACTTAGTACCCTTGGGGGTGAACCACAGTACTTCTGCAAGCATAAGTGGAAGTTAGATGGCTGGTACCTTTTTAAAAACTAGATGGGATGTGCAAGGGAGGACAGGAAGGACAAATAGTTTGTGCTTCCTGTCTTTAAATGTAACAGTACAAGTGTGTGTTTCAAGAAGGATGTTATCTCCATGTAGGCAAAAGAGCGCATACAATGTAGAGCTGCAAGGTGGGTGCTGAGAAGGCTGGAACTCTGCACAGAGACCCTCTTAATAAAAATAAATAAGCAGAGAACCTCGAATTCCAGATCATCTTGGATGCTTTACTCTTTGTTTCTTCATTGCAGCCAATAGTGCCAAAGTGTATTCTACAGCCATTGCCAAAACTCAGAAGATATGGGCTGCTTATGTTGATGCTATTATGAAGGTATTTGACCTTTGATGCTTTTTCTAAAATACGTTTCACCTAGGCCTTTTGTAGTGATTGTTATGTTGATGAGACATGGGCCTCTGAGTGTGTACAGAGGGCCTTTCCCTTGTGTCACCACTGCCAGCCAACAGGGATCCAGGATTAAGGGTCGAACCTTAGTCAAGGTGGCTCCAGCCACATTTGTCTCTCTGTCTTTTATGGTACCTCAAGCTAAATCGGCCTCCTCTCCTGCCCCTTCATTGATACTCAAGTGCCCTCAACATTCTGTGCCTCACAGAGACTAATGAGCATGCTTGTGCTGTCTTGACTGGCTGCCACAGAGACCACACACTGGAAGCTTGTAAACACAGTCCAGAATCAAGGTCAGTCAGAGCCAAAAGTCAAGAGCCGGGAAGTCAATTCAAGGTTGCAAGGAAGGACAAGGAGCGGCTGTAACACACGCAGGAGCAGGTCTGAGTGAGCAAAGCTCCTGCGGCGTTGAACCAGGTGTACTGAGTGCTTTTGAGCAGGTCCTTCCTTCCCTGGGGTTGAGTCTGCAAAGGCTTACAGCTCTTCCCTCTGCAGGAGCTGGAGTCTGACACTCCTTCTTTGCTCCTGCATAGTCAGCCTCTAGCGTGCCCTACATCTGGGGTACTCAGGAGAACTAGGCGGGGAGTCTGGCCTCCGGGTGTCCGCAACTGGGGATGCTGGGCCAGGCTCAGGATTGGCCTCTCCTTCTGGCTGCACTTCCTGTGCAGCTGCTGGGGACTCTTCCTTCTCAGGTATATTTGAGGGTTCTTCTTCTGGGCTGACTCCAGAGGAGGCTGGGTTGCTCCCTGCCTCCTAGTACCCACAACAATGCTTACTCCTCATCAAGCTGTTGTCTTCCACCCTGCCCACCCTCCTGGTCGCTGCTTTTCATCAAAAAATGACACTGCCAGAAGATCCTATCCTGAATTCTCCAGCATCACATGCAGTTCAGCCCTAAAAATTCATTCCTTGCACTTTATGTTACTTTTTGCACTGATGATGCTGACAGGACATCATGCTTATTTGATCTTTAGAGCTCATGCCTAAGTCAGTGCCATCTAGTTGCAACCGACTTATGGTAACCCCAGCCAGGGGCTTTCAAGACCAGAGATGAGCAGAGGTGGTTTGTCATTGCCTCCCTCTGCAGCGTCTTCTTTGGTGTTCCCCCATCCAAGTCATGACCCTTCTTAGCTTCTGAGATCTGGTGAGATCAGGCTACTGCATGCCACACCTGCCTTCCTGAAGATAGCAAATTCTGTGTAAAGTGCCATCAAGTTGCAGCCAACTTATGGTGACCCAGCAAGGGGCTTTCAAGGCAGGTGAGAAGCTGAGGTGGTTTGCCAGGGCCTTCCTCGGTGGTCTCCCACACATGACAGCTGCTGCTTATGCCACCATCGTTCCTCTGGGGAATGGGGAGGGGAGGCGATATTGGCAAGGAGAGCAGAAGCTGCCTAATGAGTCCCTTTTGCCTGATGTCACCATTAGGATTTGAGAAGGAGCCCTGCTACAGCAACCATGGTGGTGGTGCGAGGAGGGGCCTGGAACCCGAGGCGGTTTGGGGCTCTGGAGGTCAAAACCAGAACTTTGAATTTAAGGCAGAGGTGACCTAAGGCAGAGGTGACCCAATGCAGTCTTGAGCAGCAGCATTCCACCACTAGGGGTCACTAATAATCTGTTCCAAATCAAATCAAATGTATTATTACGGTTCGTGACCAGCACATAATAATCTGTTGGAACATATGAAACAAACTGTTGGAGTAGTCACTACTCAGGGCTTTTTTTGTAGAAAAAGCCCAGCAGGAACTCATTAGCATAATAGGCCACACCCAACAGCAGAAACGCATTAGCATATTAGGCCACACCCCCATGTTATCAGAAGTGTGCTCATCCAGCCACACCCACCTTTTGCTTCTTATTCTGTTTGCTTTGTTGTCAAAACTCAGGGCTTTTTTTGTAGCAGGAACTTCTTTGCATGTTAGGCCACACACCCCTAATTTAGCCAATCCTAATGAGATTCTGCTGTTAGGTGTGGCCTATTATGCTAATTAGTTCCTGCTGGGCGTGGCCAACTCAGGAGCCAGCTGGAACTCCGTTCCTGTGCGTTCCTGCCCAAAAATAGCCCTGTCACTACTACTTTACTCAGTTACACAATTCCTGTTGAGTGGGCTCCCCTTTTTAGCTTAAAGTGATTAAAATGTGGAATTCGCTGCCAGAGGACAGGCATAGACTGCTTGAAAAGGGGATTAGATAGATTCATGGAGGATAAGTCTATCAATGGCTACTAACCATGGTGACTGAGGAGAGCCTCCATGTTCAGAGGCAGTACACAGCGTGTTCTTTCTCAAATCTTATGGCTGCAGTTACGAGGCTTTAAATATTTTCCCAAGCATCGTCAGTTCTCTGTTAATGTAGGTGGAGTGAGGGGGTTAAAAACAGCAGAAAGCACAAATACTGTTCAGGCGAAGGCTGAGATGAGCTTGCGAAATCAATCCAAGTAGGATTTCACAATTAAATTCCCTTCACAATTTCAGTGACGTGGTCACAATTCCTAGTGAGTGGGCTCTCCTTTTTAGCGATCCCTTTTCCCCGTTCAAGTGTATGGAAACGAGTAGCAGTGAGTTGGGTCCCTTCCCTGCCCCACCCCCTGGGAAATCCATTTGTGCAGGTTGGTGGACTCCCTGCAACTGAATTGAGGTACAGTGTGTAGAGGGCAAGAGGAAGAATTTGACAAATGTGTTCCCTCTCCCCCAATTGTGCAAGGTCGTGCTCTGTTTGTAGAAATGCAAGAGGGAAGACAGGCAATTCCCACCAATGTCCTGGCAACCACAGCCACCTGTGCATTGTTCCACTCTGGTCCTGAGAATCCCCAAATCCTTGAACAATTTTCGGGAGCACAGGAGGGGAAGAAGAAGTTATCCATTCCATGTGCTCATTTGGCTCATGGTTTATGGTATCCAGCTTGGGATGCTTTAAGCAATTAAGTGCTTACTTCCTTTTCTTTTTCTCCCTTTTCCACCCTTCCCAGGTTGGGCAGATGCAAATACTAAGACGCCAGATAGCCAATGAACTTAATTATTCCTGCAGATTTGATTCTAAGCACTTAGCAGCGGCGCTGGAAAACCTCAACAAGTAAGCATCAGAAACCCACAATGACATCCACACGATTGTTATAAAAATTGGGGAAGTGCATGGTTGTCAATGTTTACAAACCTCCTGCAGTCTCATGGCCAGCACATGCCTTATCAACCTACCCTCATCCTTCTGCATATGCTGGTGACATTACCAGCCACCATGGAAACTGGAGATGATGGAAACCGTTAATGATAAGAACGATGAGGCACTTGTCGACTGGGCTGAAAAACATGGCTTGCATCTTGTTTTTCGACTCTAAAGACGGAGTCATCTTCAGATCAGTGGATGGAATAGAGAATCCACCCCTGATTTAACATTTGTTTCATCTGATCGGAGACGTCAGCCCTTGCCTATATCCAGATGTGTCCTTGAGGCTTTCCCACACAGTCCGCATCGACCTGTAATCCTTGAGCTAGGAATCCAAATATCAGTTATCAGGTCTTTTCCAGGACCAAGATGGGACTTTAAGAGGGTGAATTGTAAAGGTTTCAGTGAAGATCTGGACAGGTGTCTTGGATCTGTTGGAGCTGTTATACCTACGGCCAAAAGACACATTCCTCAGGGGTATCCGAAAGACTATATTCCAGGCTGGAGCGACCAGAGCCAGAGGCTGTATCAAAATTTCCTTGACAGCAAAGACCCCAGAAGTAGCAGATGAACTACTCCATGAACTCAACCCTGCACATAGAGCAGCTCTGCTGTTTTGGGTGGAAAGAGGGGGGGCTGCAAGGAAGTGGGGTCATAACCAATGTTCCCTCTAAGCTGCAGAACCTTGTGAGCAAAAATTCCACTTTGTGAGCTCCTGGCATTAACATTGTGAGCGAGCAGTTTGGCGACTGCATCAACTAGCTTGCTCTGGAGCCCTCCTTCCCGAGCTAAGGCAAAAACCTGTGAGCCGGAGGCTAAAGAACTGTGAGCTAGCTACTAACTCAGCTTAGAGGGAACACTGGTCATAACCCCAGGTGCTTCAGAGCAGGGTGCAAGAAAATTACTTTCTATTTGGCCAGCTGGGTGGGCAACCAGTTTTTGAAACTCCCATAAAAGTATCCCAGACATGTATATTTACCAAAGCTGAAAGTCACACTATATGTTCGGTAAAAACTCCTAGAAGAACAAAAATCCTTCAAAATATACAGGGTCAGGGGAAAGGAGCATTCCTTTAAAACAGAATATTCTGATTGTGAGGATGGGGGGGCCGATCATTACTCATAATAAACCATGTGGCAAGTTCAGTCTTTAAAAATAGTGGGGGGGGGGATTGTAACTTCATGTAGCTATGTGGATTGAACTGTAATTTATGTACTGACTGTGAGCCGCCCTGAGCCTGCATTGTAGGGAGGGCGGGGTATAAATGTGATAAATAAATATATAAATGGTTTTGTGTTTTTTTTAATTGTGACGTAATTTGCTGGCTTACGTATTTGATGTAGCAGCTACTACCTGTCATGGCAGAGTTGGATACAGCTGTTTCACTGGCACTGCCCTCCTGGCAACAGCCCTTTCTGAGATTTCACACTAGGTACTGCCTGCATGCTATACAATGGTCGGGGCTAAATGCTTGATTTCATGGAGATTTATGGTACATTAATGATGACTAAAAGTCCACCGTTGGCTACTAACCACTGTGAGTAACGGGAACCTCTGTGTTCATAGGCAGCAAACTTCTGAAATCCAGTGCTAGAAGGCAACATCAGGGGTCTCCATGCCTAATTGTTGGTCCTCCAAAATAACTGGTTGGCCAGTGTGTGAGACAGGATGCTGGACTAGATGAACCATAGGGTGCCACTTATTTTCCTGTTTATTTCAATTTTATCTGAAACCTGAGATTCTTACGATGATGAATTCTTCTACCTGTGTAGTATGACGCGGAATATCGTGCCTTGGCTTTAAGAAACTGGAGGACTTTGCTTGCTTGTTATATTTTGCCTTTCTTTTAAAGGCCATTTAGAGTTGGTCTCCTCTCTCTGTTGTGTCTCGGTAGAGCAATCCTTGCGGACATAGAAGCCCACTATCAAGATCCGTCACTGCCTTACCCTAGAGAAGATAACACCCTTTTGTATGAGATCACAGCTTACCTGGAGGCTGCCGGCATTCATACTCCATTAAATAAGGTGAGACTCCTGTTCCCTACTGGAATGCAATTTCATTACAGCCAGAACGGTCTAACGGTTCTTCGTTCTTTCACTCGTTCATTTCGTAAGTCTGTGGCTGGAAATGAATTTTGAACCAGCATCCCCACAGCTCGCTCTAAGCTTCACGAGCTGTGACTTTAGTTCTTGTTTCGGGCTGGAATGCCTTCCTTTTTTTTTTGTGGCACTTAGTGCTAGTGAAGGGGAAGGCCCCCAGATCTCTCGAGAGGGTAGCCGTGTTGGTCTGCAGTAGAACAGCTAGATTCCAGTCCAGTAGCATCGTAGAGCCCAACGAGATTTTCGGGGTATGAGCTTTCAAGAGTTTAAACTCCCTTTGGTGTAGTGGTTAGGAGGGCGGACTCTAATCTGGGAGAACCGGGTTTGATTCCCCACTCCTCTACATGCAGCTGCTGGTGTGACCTTGGGTCAGTCACAAGTTCTCTCAGAGCTGTTCTCTCACGGGCAGTTCTCTCGGAGCTCTCTTAGCCCCACCTACCTCACAGGGCGTCTGCTGTGGAGAGGTGAAGGGAAAGGAGATTGTAAGCACTCTGAGACTCCTTCGGGTAGTGAAGGGCGGTGTATAAATCCAATCTCTTCTTCTTCTTCTTCCTCAGTTATCTGATGAAGGGAGCTTTGACTCTCAAAAGCTCCTTCCCCAAAAATCTTGTTGATCTCTGTGGTGCTACCAGACTCAAAGCCAGCTACACGGAACAGAGATAATAAATTTCTAAACGTGTTAGACCACTGGACTGGCAATATGAAAATCCAACTAAACGGTTCCTTCCTCCCTTCCCTTTCTTCTTTTCCAGATCTACATAACTACAAAACGACTGCCATATTTCCCCATTGTGAATTTTCTGTTTCTGATTTCCCAGCTGCCGAAGCTCCAGTACAACAAAAACTTTGGTATGGTAATACATTGTCTCTGTGCCTTTAAGCATGGCTGTCAAAGAGCTTTCTTTCTGTCTAGTGCGTCTTTAGTCCATCTCCAAGGAACTCAGAGCCACACGCAGATCTTTCTCTTCCCTTCAATGTACTCTGATTACGTGTGCAGCAATTGGAAAAGACAAATTTTTGTAACCAGCTGTCAGCACAACTGAAAGTTCATTTGATGAGGTTTTGTAATCAAATGCTTGGAGAGACGGGCATGGAAACATGAAGCTGCTGTATATGTAGTCGGGCTATTTGCCTGTTAAGTTTAATGTTGTCTCCTCTGACTGGCGGCAGCTCTCCAGAGTCTCTGGCAGAGGTCATTCACATCTCCCCTTACACGATCTTTGTGAATGGGTATGCGTGGGACTGGACCTGGGACCTTTTGTATACAAAGCAAATGCTGTGCCACTGAGCCATGGCCCTGCCCCATGAAAATCAGAAAGTTACAGCGGTGCCATCAGGGCCAGATTTGCGTTAGAGGCAATGCTCCCTCTAAGCTGTGGAGTCTTGAGAGCAAAAATTCTACTTTGTGAGCTCCTGGCATTCAGGGGTCATTTCGTAGAAAAAGAGCTAGGGGGACTCATTAGCATAACTCATTAGCATATGCCACACCCCCTGACATCAGGGGCCCGGCGGTGGCCCTGCAAGGCCAGCGGGAGTGCGAGGAAGCCCCGCCAGGCAGGCAGGGGTGGGGAGAGGCGGGGAGGAAGCAACTTACCCTCCCTCTTCTCCTGCCTCCTCCTGGCTGAATGAGGGCTGGAAGCAGGGCAGCCGGAAGCAGGGGGTGGGGCTTCGTCATGTGCCCCACCCCCCGCACCTCACCCGGGGGGACTGCGTTCCCCCGCGTTCCCCCCCGAAATGACCTCTGCTGGCATTAAAGTTGTGAGCGAGCAGTTTTCTGGCTGCGCAAATTAGTTTGCTCTGGAGCCATCCTTCCTGAGCTAAGACAAAAACGTAAAAGCCGGAGGCTAAAAAACTGTGAGCTAGCTCACACTAACTCAGCTTAGAGGGAACACTGGTTAGAGGCCCAGCTCATCACCTCCATAGGGGGTTCCCCCACCAAATGCAGCTACCAAGCCCTATTGAGCTCAGTGTTTCTGAGAACACAGAATACTGAGCAGTATTTCCATCTGAGAAAGTAGCAGTCGGCTGCCTTTGCAGATACCCACTTCGCCCCTGTGCTGTTCCTGAGGGTCCACTGCCCACCAGAAGTAAAGGGGGGCAGGAGGAGGAAGAGGGAAAGTCCCATTCCTCAAAGCCATGGGTGGGTGGATACACTTATCTGTGGAGTCTGTCCCTGGTCAGCAAACTGCTCCACTAGTGCAGTCATTCACCATGCAGGTAACTTTCTCCTCACTCCTTTGGTGGCATAGATATAATCCCCCTGACCCACAATGGTTAGGTATTACATGCGAGCAGTAAGCCACCGCAGAGACCTATTCAAAATGGCTTCCACAAAGTGGCTGTTTCATGGACTGGAAGAAAGTGGGGAACTTGTCTGGTTATCTTTTCAGGGATGGCCTGCAGGAAGCCAGCTGACCCGATAGACTGGCCACCTCTGGTGCTCGGGCTGCTTACTCTGCTGAAGCAGTTTCATTCACGATATACTGAACAGTTTCTGGCTCTGATTGGCCAGTTTGTTCGGTCGACGATGGAACAGTGCACGAGGTACCCCCTTTTTGCTTCCCTTAGAACCTTCTAGGCAAGGCCTTCTCTTCACAGGCAGGTGGCTTATTGGACTGGACCCTTTCCAGTTGGGGGGGGGGGAATCATTTTTGAATGATCCCCTACATAAATGAAGAAACTTCCCTGCAAGGAAAAAACTAATACTTTAGGAAAAGAGATTCTGAGGAATTTCATATTACCTTTTTTAACCTGTTTTGAAGCCGTTTTTGATCTGTCATGGAGTAAACCGGTATAGGGCTGCCATTTCACACATCGCTTTCCCCTTTCGGTAAAAAGCTGGATCTGAAGCGGTTTGCCATTTCAGACTGCACCGCTTTTTCCCCACCGTTTTTCGCTCGCGCGGGCAATCTCTGCCTTTAAAAAAAAAAAACGTTCGCTTTATAGCGCTATAGCAGTATAACAAGACACTCCAGGCATTCCAATGGCGTTGATATACTGCTGTTTCGTTATAGCGCTATAACGCTATAAAGCAAACATTCCAAAAAAACAACCGGAGATCGCCCACGCGGGCGAAAAACAGCGCATCGGAACTAGGAGAGGAAACTGAAGACTACTTGGAAGCGGTTGACAGGTAAAACGCTTCAGCCCCGTTTCCTAAATGGGACAGAAGCGTTTGTGTCTGAAATTACAAATATATTCCGGTAGGGAACCGGTTCTAAAACGGTTCTGTCTGAAATGACAGACCAGAAACTGTTTGGGAATCGTTCCTCTTCCGGATTATATCGTCTGTCTGAAATTCCTCTCTAACATACCACATGCCCTGCTAGTTTTCTACTCTGAGAGATTTGTAAAATCTACAGGAGAGCTTTCTGTGTTCTCCCTTACTCCAGTCTGAAGTGGAACAACCCATTCTGCCACTTTTTGACTCAAACACCTCATGCCCACATTACGGGGTCTGTGGAGACCAGAGTGGAAATGACTTTGTTCTCTTCCTTGTTTCATTATAGCTGGGGTCCCCAACCTCTTTGATCCTGTAGGGCAACTTTGGAATTCTGACAGAATGTGGTGAGCGCAGCCACCAAGCGGCTGTCACAAAAGGTGGAGCCAGACATACAATGGCTGCCACAGCTTACCTTCAGGGTTGTTTTTTTCTTTTTCAAGTGTTTGATAAATACTAATACATTTCTGTGAAATCATAGGGACATAAATCCTGTTTCAATAAGCTTCCTCAGAGCAGAATACACGTACCCTCTAAATTTCCTTCTCACTCAGTTACTTGGCTGCATGTTCTCTCTGATGGGCATGAATAGCTGTGAGAGAGAACATGCAGCCAAGTGAGAAGAAAATGTGTGGAGTCTACATGTATTCTGCTCTGAGGAAGCTCACACAGTGGCCAACCAGTTCCTCTGGAGGGCCAACAATAGGAACATAGAAACCGAGGCCTTCCCTGATGTTGCATCCTGACTCTGAGATTCAGAGGTTTAGTGCCCCTGAATGTGGAGGTTCCCCTCAGTCACCATGACTAGTAGCCATTGATAGACTTATCCTCCATGAATCAATCTAATCCCCTTGTAAAGCTGTTTATTCCTGTGGCCATCACAACATCCCGTGGCCACAAATTCTACGTATCAATCATTCCCTCTGCAAGCAAGGTGCCACCACTAAAAAAGCCCTGTATCGAGTCACACCAGTCTCATGCTGAACACAGGGGCACAAAAAGCAGGGCTTGTGGGGCAGATCTTACCTGGAAGGCTGCACAATATTGGGAGGAGGTGGTCCTTCAAGTTTAGGAATGCATACTGTACAGTGTGTGTGTGTGCGCGCGCAATTTTTAAACTACTATTTTAAAATCCTGCTTAAATTTAAGAGGTTATCTGTTGCTTCCAAATGATCATTCACCCCTGGGGGGTTCTGTGTCTGTAGCCAGAAGATCCCAGAAATGCCAGCAGATGTTGTGGGGGCCCTGCTTTTCTTAGAAGACTACGTTCGGTATACAAAACTTCCACGAAGGGTAAGTGATTTGAGCTAATTCAGAAAAAATGCACAGGAATCTTTGGACTCACTTTCTTCTATATTAAGCCTGTTTTTGGTATCTGTCATGAATTAACCCTTGGGCCAATGTAGAGATTGGCTATAGCTTGTAGAATATATTAGTAAAAGGATGTGGAAGTTAAGGACATGAGAACAGCCCTGATGGATCAGACTGGTGATCCATCTAGCATCCTGTCTCACACAGTGGCCAACCAGTTCCTCTAAAGATCCAAGAACAGGGCAATAAAGGCCTTCCCCTGATGCTGCCTCCTGGCACTGGGATTGACTGCCTCTGAATGTGGAGGTTCCCTTTAGTCACCATAACTAGTAGCCACTATCTTGCACGTATCTGTCTAATCTAGGGTTGCCATTTGCCCAATGGAGGCAGGGAGTCCTCCAATTTTGTGAGCTCCTGCACGCTGCCGGCTAGCTGGCCAATGAGAGGGAATCCCCCTCCCCCGACTATCTTGCACGTATCTGTCTAATCTAGGGTCGCCATTTGCCCAATGGAGGCAGGAAGTCCTCCAATTTTGTGGGCTCCTGCACGCTGCCGGCTAGCTGGCCAGTGAGAGGGAACCCCCCTCCCCCAAAAGTGGCATCGCATGCGACATTGCCTGCATCACCTGGAAGTCATGTTGGCAATGTCAGATTTTTGCCCAAAAAACAGTGTTGCCCCCGACATGCCTATGTCACCCGGAAGTGACATAAGCATGACGTGCAACATTACTTCCAGTGACATGGGCACGTCGGGGTGACCCTTCTGGCTCACGGAGCGTCTCCCCCCCAATCTCCCCCACTGGTGTCTCAAAAGGACTTGGCAACCCTAGTCTAAATCCCCTTTTAAAGTTCAGTCCCAGGCGTTTCCAGCCAAAAGGGTCCCAAGTAGCTTGTGCTGAAAAAAGCCCCCGTGTGAGAGCCTTGAAAGCTGCCACAAAGGAGATAAGACAGTACTGGATTGTGACTCTGAGGCAGCTTCCTATAAATGTATGTTCAGTCTCCGCTAATCACCCAGCTGTGAGATCCTGCCTGGCTTAGGCAGCTTCCCAGCTGACACAGAAAAGCATACCTCTCGGTTGCAAATAACCCACCGACACACTGGTGTTAACACTGTGAGCCAAAGCTGTAGTTTTGATTGAACTTGACCATGTTGCAGCTGTTGGAATGCATCTCTGTTTTCCGTGGCCTATTGCATGCTTCCCAGCATTTGCCCCTTTAGAAAATGTGGGCGCCCTGACCTGGATAGCCCAGGCTAGCCTGGTGTCGTCAGATCTCGGAAGCTAAGCAGGGTCGGCCCCGGCTAGTGCTTGGATGGGAGACCACCAAGGAAGTCCAGGGTCACAGAGGCAGGCATCGGGAAACCACCTCTGTTCATCTCTTGCCTGGAAAACCCCGTGATGGAGTTGCCATTTGTCAGCTGTGATTTGACAGCAAAAAAAGAAGAAAGGCCTTCGGAGGGTGGTTTTTAAAAGCTTGGGGGGGGACCAGGCAATTCCTTAGCTAGGCCTAGATTCAGGTGGGTAGCTGTGTTGGTCTGAAGCAAGAGAACAAATTTTGAGTCCAGTGGCACCTTCAAGACCAACCCCCCCGCCCGAACAGCAAAAGCAGCTCAAATTGTGCAAATGCACGTAGATCAGCTTAAACAATTCATATCGTCCACAGAAAGGCTCCTTGTATTTATGCTGCAGTGCAAAACAAAAGATTCTCAAGCCACTCTCAGACGCGCATTTGGCAGTATGACACAATTCCGTGTTGCAGAGGTGCACGTATGGGTAACATGGCCACGTGAGAAGAGACAGTCAAGCAAAAGCAGCTCAAATTGTGCAAATGCATGTAGATCAGCTTAAACAATTCATATCATGTTGCAGAGGTGCACGTATGGGTAACGTGGCCACGTGAGAAGAGACAGTCTCGTAGACCTTTCTTGCACCCTCAGCACCTCAGCAGGAGGGAAAGGATGCCAATCAGTTAAGAGAAACCTACACAACTTGCCATAGCTAATCTAGTTGTGTTATGTGCACACCATTGCTGTTTGGTATAGTGCCCTATGGAAGCAGCTTCTTCACAGCTGCCTACACATGTGAAGGGGGGACTCAGAATGCTGGATTAAATGCCCTGTGCTAAATGTGGCACTTGAGCAGGATTGTTCAGTGGCCAGTTCAAGACACAGTTGGCAGGCAGGGAAACAGTTCTTCCGTCAGTGAACTCTCACGTCTTGTAGCATATGAGAAAACTCTATGTACATTTAGCGCTTCTGAGTGTCTTGCTAGGAGATTAAAATTTTTTTAACATTGATAAGTGATTTTGGCAACATTTTAAACAGTACCTTGGGCCCTTCTGTCTTCTTAGGTGGTTGAAGCTCATGTGCCTAGTTTCATTTTTGACGAGTTCCGCACAGTTCTCTGACACACACACACACCCCATGGAAGGAGCAGCCCCAGGTGGAGCTACGAAGGAACCTCTGATATGTCGAGGAGGATGAAGGAGAAGGAATATAACATTTCAGAGCTGGCTTTTATTTGTGTCTTGCATAATTCTCGTACGGCAGCATGAGTTGAACATAAATCCGCAGTACTAACCCTGTTTTAAAACCTTGGCATTTATGCTCCGATCGATCGCTTGATCTTAGCTCTTGAGTATTTTGTACTTAACTTGTAATGTTGTACACAGTCCCTTATGTACAAAAATTGTTCTGTTTATGTTCATAGGAGGCCATTTTGTGGACATAGTTACTTTTTTGCACAGCAATTAAAATAATGGTATTGAAATGAGGAGGTTTAGAACTCTTTCCTGTCTTTCACATGGTTCAGAAATATTTATTAATCCCATTCTGAGGAGAGGGGAAGATTACAAGTATATGCAAAATAGGTTGGGTCCCTGGTCCTAAATAACTGATTCCCGTGGCATTTCTCCACCATGCCGATGGCCCCATGTAAACATTAATACATAGGATTAGTTCAGACATCATGTGAAACTGTGGCTTAATTTTTCTAGTTAGTGTCACTCTGTCTGTCTGAATGTGGGCCACAGCACAATACTGTGGTTGGTAAAGCTTCATTAAACCAGGGTTTGGATTCCGTTTCTTGCCCACAGTTAGACTTAACTGTGATTTCATGTGGTGTGTGAATGTGGAATGTGCCTTGATCTTCGCACCCCCCTCCATGGCTTCAAAGCAAGGTGATAAAACCAGTATTTGTCGAGGAAAACTACAGCGGGAATGACCATGTGCATGTTGAATCCTGGTTTCATGAGCCTTCACCGTGGTTTGTTTTAAGTGTTAGGTGAACATTATTGATTGCAAGCCAGGATGAGAAACCATTAAGTGTTGCATCAGCAAACCATATATCTCTTTACTTAGGTAATCTGCAAAGTTTCCCTATAAATAGCTGAACCGTGGTTTTACTGTCAGATTTGGCTAGAACACTGGGGTACAGTGCTTTTTACTGTCCTATAACCTAGAATACATCCTAAACTCCCACAGCAGCAAATTGCAAAGGAAAAATCTGTAGCAAGGAAGCTTGTCTGCCATTACTGATCAGGAATCCCCACAGAACGTAAATTGAAAAATCACAAACTAATCCCAAACCTGAGTTACTCTTCAAAGAATTCGTAGTGTAACTAACATATTTATGGTATCAATACGGATATGGACAGAATGTAAAGAATGTAGCCCATCTACAGGGCAGGCCCAGTACCAACCCTGCTGTCTGCACACATAACACAATTCAGGCTTGAGTACACCACTAGTAGCTAGATGCCCACAGGAATCACAGATCCTCAAATAAATTCAACCCACTTCCTCTGTCTCAAAAGATAATCTACACCATGTCAGGAAATATTTAATAAAACTATGCAGGCAACTTAAAGCCTGCATAAGGGGATGGAATTCAAATAAGGCTTTCTGCTTGTGCTGAGCAATATTCTTTCCCCTGTGGTAGCCCCAAACTGCCCCTCCCCCTACAAGTGCTCCATAAGATCCACCTTAAAGATCAATAGCCAGTCTGGATGTAGGTAGATGACATTGGGTTATATCCCGCCCCTCAGTTTAGCTGTCAGAAGAACATTCCTTTTTTAAAAAATCAGTGCAGTCTATGAATGGTAAATATTATACAGTGACTTGACTTCTGAATGGGAAATAAATATTTTAAGCAGTACACACGTGGCAAGGTGCTGTAATGTTTATTAAAACGTTTAGCTGTGAGAAAACCAGCCTGTGTCAATGTCCCAGAAGCCTGACTGCAAAGAACACAAATTACAAAATTGTACACAAAGTCTCTGCAAACATCTTTCAACGGGCATGTTTTAGTTTTTATATTGAAGTCTGCACCATCTGTGACTGGTACTTTAAAATTACTTTGCACAAGATGACTGTATTGACATTCCTGCAGTGCGTTTTTCTGCCCATATCTAGAACTACATGGACACTGCAAGAACAATCTTGTCCCTTTACCTATTAGGTCAGAGCAGCTCCTTATCTGCAAATATGTCTCCTTTAGCACTCTCCATTCACTTCCAATGTGAGTGGCAGCAGATGGGACCCTGGAATTAATATTTTTGCAGGTTCAAATAAAATTGCCACAGGCATTCTGACATTCATCCCTAGTCAGAGATGCTCCAAGCCCCAACAACAAAAAGAGGGTGTGAATTCTGGTGCTGTGCTTAGAACTTTCTGATCTCATACAAGAGGATCCACGGGCTTGCAAGCTCTCTCCCTCTTACATCATTCTAGTACAAAAAGAATTTCCCATACAGTTTTGATACATCACACTCTCCCCTACACGCCTGGTTCCAGCACTTGTATCTGTTGAAGCGGCAAAGGAAGGTGAGCTTGAAAGATGGGTGTTGTGCCCAATATGTGGCTCATGAGCAAGCTGCTTGCAGGGGTAAACACCCAAAAGGCCTTTTGAGGGCTGCTACAGCTTAGTGTTGAAGTAACCTCTCACTTTTCTCTCCTTAAAAGTGGGCATCTGATGTCCTAATGGGCTGTAAAACAAGGCTTCCCTCAAAATGATTGGCCCTTTGTTTTTCTTTTAAAGAGTATGATTTGGGCTATCCCAATAGGATGTTCAAAGAATCCCCATCTAAGCCAGAAAAAAGGGCCAGAGAGCATGGGGGGGGGGGGAGTGTGCTGAGCAATAGGAACTTCATCAGCATCGCCAAAACTGTCCCCTGAAACATTCCTTTTAGTCTGGCACCAGTTGTAGTATGCTAACATTTCCGGCGTTATTGTCAAAAGTCACGAGATTCAAAGAATTCCTGAGGCAGAGAATGGCACTAGATGGAAGAGTTTAGCTCTCCATCTGCCACCTGGCAAAACATCTCCCTCATGTCTAAATACTGAGTGGCTCACAGGGCAAAAAATGTACCTGGGCAGTACGATTTTGGATTGCCAGTGGGGGAAATCAAAGACTTGAATGCCGGTCTCCCATACAGATTCTACACAGAGAAAAATAGCTGTCGTGGGGAAAGGGTGAGACTATATAGTTTCTCCCTGACATGCTCATTTTCTAGGGGTCGGGATTGTCCTTTTGCTAGGGAATATTCAAAGCCATGAGAGCACGCACAAATAATACCTGCAGTCTCTGGTGGTACAGTTGAGGAACAGTTTCACGACACAATCAGTTGTTTATGTAAGCTGGGCTATGGCAAGGACTTTGTCAATCCGCCTCCCCTTCGTACAATCAGCTTTGGCCCTCCTTGAGCCATAGAAGCCCTTGTGTATGCATGGGGCTTAGATGGCATGAACGGTGCCATCTACAACTAAAGCCACGGTGATTCCTGATATCGCAGTGCCAGGAAAGCAGGGTTACTGTGATTTCAGAAAATCATCTGATTGTGTTTCTGTGCTGGCTGCCTTCCCCTGTGCAACCGCTGCTTGAAGGGCGCTTCACCTGCGCGCCGGGCCCTCTGATCCCACAGCATAGTCAGCTACACCTTTAAATTCACACACTCACATGTAAATCCACTCTACAGAAACATTCAGCACTTCCCAGGAGCAGAACCCAGCAGGCTTCCATTGTGCTGCATTAGTATGAAACCCTTCAGGATAAAAAAGAAATCACTCGGCAGCTCTCAGAATCACAGATTTGGAAGGGGCCATACAGGCCATCTGGTCCAACCCCCTGCTCAATGCAGGATCAGCCTAGAGCATCCCTGACAAGTGTTGGTCCAGCTGCTGCTTAAAGACCACCTCCCTGGGCAGCTGATTCCACTGTTGCACAACTCTGGCTGTACAAAAGTTTTTCCTAAGATCCAACCGGTACCTTCCCACCCCTACTTTAAACCCATTACTGTGAGTCCACTTCCTCTGCAGCCAACAGGAACAGCTCCCTGCCCACCATCCTCTAAGTGGAAAAAAATCCATCTGTTGAAGGATTAGTTTAAGGAGAACATTCTGATAGGCCACCAAATACACAGCAGTGTGATTTTAGGCCAACCCGTTTCAGCTCTATCTACTAGGCTGTGCTGGTGAAATTGCACCTGAGCAACCCGATACAATGTGGTGTAGCGGTTAAAGTGTCGGACCAGGAGCTGAGAGACCCAGGTTTGAATCCCTGTTTAATTTTATAAATTTATTTTTTAAAATTATAAAATTAAAAAGTCTTGAGATTCTCCTGTATTCACAGGTGTTCGAACAGTCTATCCGTGCAGATTTCCCATTCTGCACTGGTGCAGCCTGAATTAAGAGAACATGGTTAGGGGTTGAAGTAGGACAGGAGGAGGATTTGGGAAGGAACTAACACAAACCTGGGTTCCACGGGAGCTGAGAAATGTGGTTGACAGCCACGCAAGGAATTGTCAGTGAGAGAAGTTACTACAGCTCAGTGCCGTAGTGAAACCTTCCAACAGCTCTTTGGTCCCTCCGTTGCCAGGATCCTCATGAACACCTGAAAGACCCACCGCTACGTCCATCCACCCCCCAGTCTGACCCACCTGAAGCGAAATAGCCTTTTATTCAAGAAGATTCCTAAAGTTTATACCAGAGTGAGGGGAAAAAACACATCCAGGGCCATTAACTGCAGATTTTAAGATTTTGATCGACAGAAGAAAATTTCACATCAATATTTTTTTAAAAATGCAAACAAAAGGGAGGAATGTACAGATAACAGCTCCTACATACGTGGTTCAAGTTGTCCCCCCTTTGTGTGATCGACTTTTCATTGACATTACCGGGGAACGAACGTTCAATAGCGGGGTCAGAACCAGCACTTTCTCTACCAGTGCTCTCAACAGTTAACAGTGGTCTTCATAAACGTCTACCTCTTTTATAAACTTCATTTGCACCGCTCGCAAATATATATACATACATATTTTTCTATCCACACCTGACAGCTAGGTCCTGTAGTCTTCTGGAAGGCTGGCCCAGGAATACCTTCCAGGGTTGACAACACCATCAGCAGGGATAGCGGAGCCAGCTAGCACCACGCAAACATCCAGGGATCACTGCGGGAATCAAGGAAGCCCCAAAAATAATTCACCCCAAGAGGGACAATCTGTGTCTGGACTACACCACGTCAAGACTGCGGGGGGGGGGGGGAGGGAACAGTTCACATAACAGAAACCTCCTCCATACAAAAAAAAAATTTCCTTGCCCATATAAAGCTGCCACAGCCAGGGAGGTGATTCTGGACAAGCCATTTCCTCAACAAGCGAGTTCTCTAGCTGAAGGGAACGGCTTGATCGTACAAAACCCCAACCCGGGCTGAGGTTTCTGCCATCGGTGATAAGTAGACCAAAGGCTCCTGGACATCCCACCTCCTGTGATGGCAGCACTTCTACACTAGTACTGTCGTCCCCAGGCAAGGCTACAGGTCACAAGGAAAATGGGATTGCTATCAAACACAGGAGTCCTACATTGAGTTCCCCCTACTCCGTGTGTGCGTCATACAGCTTATCCCACAAGTAGGCACATTGTTATGCTTCATGCTTCTGTTCCCTACAACTAAACAGTTCAGTGATGTACAGCCAGAGCAGGAAGGGGGTGGCAACGTGATGTATGTCATAGAAGGAAGGGGAAATTGACACAGTGTGTGTCTATATGTGTCTCTTAACATATAGTTAAAAGGGTATCAGAGGGACAGGGGAAGAGGAGAAGCTTAACAGGTTCCACATCAGGAATGGCTACTGAACTATTCTTTGTTCTGGGTATTTATTCCCAGAAGGTCTGGAAGGAACACATTTTTCCCGTGCATTCTGATGGTCTTCATCTATTCTTTCTGAGGAAGTATAACCACGTACCCAGGTGTACACACCTGGAACCACCAGAGCAGGGGAGATCTCGTACCAACTGTTGGCCAGGATCAGGCTTGCCTGTCTATACAGAGGAAGATACACGTCATATCACCAAAAAAAAGCCAAGTCCTCAGAGTTCTGGATTTGTTTGGAACAAGGGAGGGCTGAACCATTCCATATCCACAAGGTGAAGAGGGATGAAGGGAAGCCCCCTTTAGGCTCTCCTCTGGCCGCAGGGTCCGCCTCTTTTCAGTTCAGCAGACGTACTTTATTTCCGAGTAGATGAGCGGAAATATTACGGAGCAGGCTCGGTACATCACGGCGGTGCTGCTGAAGAACGCCCGCGGTTTGGTGAGCCAGGGTTCCGACTTGAAGCAGAAATAGACGGCGTAGAGTGCCACGGCAAAGAAGTGGCCAATCAGGACCACTGGCTGCGGTGATAAGCTGTAGGGGGAGGTTGCGGCAGCAGGAGGGAAAAGCGAGAATGGAAATCACGTCAGTAAAATTTGCAGAATAAGCGCCCATTGTATTGAGGGTTAGCCCCCCTCCCCCTTCTATACTTTCATCCTAGAGGGTTTAGTACAGGGGTCCCCAACCCTTTTTAGCCTGTGGGCGCCCTTGGAATTCCGACATAGTGTGGTTGGCACAAGGGACAAAATGGCTGCCCCGGCCACAAAAATGGCTGCCACTGGTTACCTTCCGTCACAAAGTGTAGATTCTTGTGCTGCGGTGGCAGCTGCTGCCAAAGCAACATATTTAAGAATCTGCAGAGCCCATCAAATCTCCAGTGGCCAATCAAAAGCCTTGCTGGGCAAAAGCCCCGCCTGGCCCCATCCACTTTCTAAAAGCACTTGGTGGGCACCAGAAAAGGTATCAGTGGGCACCGTGGCACCTAACAGGCACCACGTAGGGGACTCCTGGTTCAGTAATACCGATCGATCATTTTATTACAGGCCGGTTCTCTCACACACGTTTTGTATGCTCAAAATGGAGCAGTGTAGCTGCTAAAGGAAGCTGAGGAGTACATTGGATTGTTAAATGTTTTCTGCCTTGACTTGCTTATGTTAATCTTGTACAAAGAAGAGAAGAAGAAGAGACTGGATTTATACCCCACCCTTCACTACCCAAAGGAGTCTGAGAGCAGCTTACAATCTCCTTTCCCTTCCCCTCCCCACAACAGACACCCTGCCAGGTAGGTGGGGCTGAGAGAGAGCTCTTGAGAGAACAGCTCTGAGACAACTTGTGACTGACCCAAGGTCACACCAGCAGCTGCTTGTGGAGAAGTGGTGACTCGAACCTGGTTCTCCAAAGATTAGTGTCCGTGCTCTTAACCACTACACCAAACTGGCTCTCTGGCTCAGCAGAAAAAATATCTGTTTCGCATGAAGAAGATCCCGGGTTCAGTCCCCAGCATCTCCAGTAAGAAGACCTCCAGTAGCAAGTGCTGCAAAGACTTTTCTCTGCTCAGGACTCTGAAAACCTGTTGCCAGTGTGAGTACGTGATGTACTGAAAGGGTTGCCAACTCTGGCTTGAGAGATTCTTGGGAGATCTGGAGGCAGTGCCTGGGGAAGGGCAAAGAGTTCAGTGGGGGTGCGATTAAACAACCCGCCCTCTGAAGCAGCCATTCGCTCCAGGGGAACTGATCTCCGTAGTGTGGAGATCACTCATAGTTCTGAGAGAATGCCAGACCCCCACCCGGAGGTTAGTGTACCTATGTACTCAGCTGGATGTGCAATGGTATAACTTGGGTTAAAACCACTTCTAATGCAGACAGAAAACCACAGGCCTGGCTTTTCGTTTGGCAATCTGATCCTTGTCCCCCCTCGCTGGTCGTGGAGGGCCCTGAATGCTCTCACCCAGGGCCTCTAGAATTCTGACGCTGGCCATAGCAAGTGCTCCCCCCCTGATAGCAACCTGAGTAGGGGGTTGTAACATTTTCCACCCGACTTACACAGACAGTAATCCAACCGGACCGGAAACACACTTGCCACCCAGTTTGAAATAAAGGAAGCAGGCTCGCCTTAACTGATGCAGAGAATCTGGAAAGAGGAAGAAAAGGGGAAACAATTTACAAAAGCGGCCCAGGGGGGAAAGTTGGAAACGTAGGTGGCAGCACACCTTTACGCACACATCCCTTGAAATCTTACCCCACGCATTCAAAAGAAACAGTCACCATGTTAAACTCCTGCAGTAACGTCACCATAGGCTGACTTTAAATGTAAAGGTCCCCTTGCTCGAAAGCCAGTCAAATCCGACTCTAGGGTTGCGGTGCTCATCTCCGTTTCAAAGCCGAAGAGCCAGCGCTGTCCGAAGACGTTTCCGTGGTCATATGGCCGGCATGACTAAACACCAAGGCGCACGGTACGCTGTTACCTTCCCACCAAAGTGGTACCTATTTATCTACTTGCAATTTCTTGCTTTTGAACTGCTAGGTTGGCAGGAGCTGGAACTAGAGACAGGAGCTCACTCCGTCATGCGGCACACTCGGGTCTCGAACTGCTGAACTACCAACCTTCCGCAGCCTGCAGTTCAGCGTCTTAACCACTTGAGCCACCGCAGCTTGGCAAAAAAGGGAAGACGGACAGCAGGCCGAGAATGCTTTGAGGGCTAGGGGGAGGCAACGATCCACACAGCACCCTACAACACTCCAAACCTCAGCCCCCATCATTCATGCTTGCACTGAGCTACTTTCCATGGCAATGTCATGTCACCTCCCTGCACAATGCTGGCAGAACATGATGGTTTATTTTTGCACTGCCTGGCCAGCACTTACGAGCTGGTTCAGAGTGTCCCGTGTCTGAAGTACGCACTATGCTCACCCCAAGGATGCTGCGCTGAAAGCAGTATTTCTGGGGGAAAGCCCCTGACTGTTCAGAATGGCTTACTACAGAGATGGTTGACAATTCAGGGCTCTTTTTGTAAAAAAAGCCCAGCAGGAACTCATTAGCATATTAGGCCACACCCCTGACAGCACAGCTCATTAGCACATTAGGCCGCACCCCCATGTTACCAGAAGTGTGCTCATCCAGCCACACCCACCTCTTGCTTCTTATTCTGTTTACCTTGTTTGTTGTCAAAACCCAGGGCCTTTTTTTGTAGCAGGAACGCCTTTGCATGTTAGGCCACACACCCCTAATGTAGCCAATCCGAATGAGTTTCTGCTGTTGGGTGTGGCCTATTATGCTAATGAGTTCCTGCTGGGTGTGGCCAACTTGGGAGCCAGCCGGAACTCCGTTCCCGTGCGTTCCTGCCCCAAAATAGCCCTGGTTGTCATCCGGGGGGTGAGGGGCAGGTCCCTGCCAGAATCCACCAGCAATATGGAGAAGGGATAGGGGGACTTTCCACATAGCGTTGACCACCAACATAGTGGTATAGCATGAGAGGCGGAAGTCACATTCTGGGAATTCCGCTTTTTGCCCTATTCCCATGATGATCAAACCCCATGCTCCAGTCCTTACGATCAAGTGGAAAGGGCATCCGGCTTACAAGCAGGAGGTCCCAGGTTCAATCCCAAGCATCTTCAGTGAAAGGGTAGAAAGACTTCTGCCTGAGATCCTAGAGAGCTGCCACCAGTCTGAGCACACAATACCTATCTTGATGGACCAATGGTGTGATTCAATATAAGGCAGCTTCATGTGTCCACATTTAAAGGCTGCTGTGCTGTATTGCTGTGCTGTATCTAAAGCGGCATGTGTCATGTCGATCAATCTGACTGCTCTACTATGTACCACTGAAGCCAGACCTTGGTGCACGAGACATGTATTTATTTACTGAAATTCAAAAGGTATCTTGTGGAAGTGCACTCACCGTCTGGTGCAGAAAATAATTCATAAAGAGCCTGAGCGAGGACATTCACAACAAAAGAGTGGTTTTTTCTTCTGGTCCAGTAAAAGGTCTTTTTTGCCTGCGAAAGGTAAGCAGTCATTTGTTGGCATCAGAAAGCAATAAGCCTCGGATATTCAAAGGGAACCAACAATTTGTGATGTTTTAAGAGGGCTGATTAAAGCGGCAGAGAAGCTTACTATGGACAGCAGTTCCAAGAGCTAGACTTTGTGGAGGTCCACCTTACAAGCTAACACCCAACCCGCCAGAATACATTGTATGCTCTATACAGAATAAAGTCTGCATGTGGTGAGTCAGTGAGGTATTTTCACTTTTCCAAAAGAAGAAGAGATTGGATTTATACCCCGCCCTTCACTACCCAAGGGAGTCTCAGAGCGGCTTACAAACTCCTTTCCCTCCCCCTCCCCACAACAGACACCCTATGAGGTGGGTGGGGCTGAGAGAACTCTGACAGAAACTGCTCTTTTTCAAGGACAACTCTTATCAGAACTATGGCTTGCCCAAGGTCATCCAAGCAGGTGCAAGTGGAGGAGTGGGGGGAATCACACCCGGTACTCCCAGATTAGAGTCCGCGCACTTAACCACTACACCAAAATTATTCTCTGAACTGATTTTTTTTTCTTCCCAGAAATGCTATCTCTCTGGAAAAGGAACAACGGTAGTGTGGTGGGGGGATTTCTGTCCAAAACAGAGCATTAGAGAGCACTACATTCACACTACAAGCTTCAGAGGACAGAGATCCTAGAGCTACATTTTTAAATGCTACAGCAAAAAGCTGCAGCATTGAGAATTTAGGCATTCGACATTTCTGTCCCACTTTTCTCCCCCCCCCCATGGGAACACAAAGTGGTTTACGTCATTCTCCCCTCCTACATTTTTATTCTCCTGTGACATCGGTTGTTAGAGAGTGACTGGCCCATGGTCACCCAGCAAAATTCCATAACACAGCTGGGATTACATGGATTTAGACAGACTCATGGAGGATAAGTATCAGTAGCTACTAGCCACGGTGACTGAGGGGAACCCCTACATTCAGAGGCACTAGACCTCTGAATCCCAGAGCCAGGAGACAACATCAGGGGAAGGCCTCAGCCTCTGTGTCCTGTTGGCGGCCCTCCAGAGGAACTGCTTGGCCAGTGTGGGAGACAGGATGCTGGTCTAGATGGACCACAGGTCTGATCCAGCAAGGCTCTTATTACGTTCTTGTCATTCCAACATGGGTCTCCCAGATGTGGGACAGGCTTCTCTAACTGGTACACCACATATGAAGCAAGCTCAATTGCATTCGGCTCGCCATCTCTCGCAATTTTGGTTTGCAACGACTTCATAAAACTGAATCGGTAAGCACACCCTGTCTATCAAGAATCATTCACCACATATCATCTTCTTAAGACAGACTTGCTAATTGTTAATGACAGTCTCCTAAAATATGCAAATCAGGGACAATCCATTATATACCTCTGATTACTCCCTGCAGTGAATGAAGTTGCAGAGATACTATTGTTCTTTAAAAGTAAAAGCTCCTGATACAGAAACTTCTTCGCTGAGGAAGTACTTCCTGTTGTGAGAGCCCGACACAGTCTACCACTTCCTGTTTCCAGCTGAATGCAGCCTTCTGGGGAGTGGCAACCAGCACCAGCCCAAGAGGGACTGTCTCATACAGATGTGTAGATTGAACAGCTCCCATCGCAGTCATGGTCTTGCCACATAAATGACAGCGAGTGGTAACAGGAAGCAAGAACTGTGTTATTCTTGGCTGTCTTTTGTCTCCTTTCTGTCTGCAGACAAAAAAGGCTGGGCACGGACGGAGGATTCAGCCCTGGAGCGCAGGCCAAAGGGTACGAGCCAAAGGACTTATGTCTCTTTGCTCTTCGCTCATAGCTCGCAACCTGGAGGCTTAGGAGAACCAGCCTAGCGACTTGCCCAGGCAGTATTTGGCTTTGTACCTATTGGTTATATTATTTCATTTAGTCTGGAAAGCCCCTTTGGATTCCTTGGAGGGGGGAAAACCAGCATAAAATGCTTAATTACTACATTCTTGTCTTTTCTCTAAGGCTCCCACCACTGTTTTGGTTTGAAAGTAGCCTCTCCACCCTGTTTTTGCTAGCCCATGGAAACTATCAGGAATTTGAACAGAGTTATCACCCTCATTCTCTCCCTGTTCTGAATATCTGGTTTGTAGATGATCAGAACGCAGGTTTAGAGTGCTGACCCCCTTCAAGCTGCACCCAGACCTGCTTCTTCTTTACTGATTTCACACGGACATTTTCAAGTGGCTGCTTCACTATTCAAGGAAGGAGCCCAAATTTTTTAAAAAACAGGCCCTACCTGTAGAACGTCGGAGTCCTCGTAGAAGTCTGGAATGGCCTGCAGCAAACTCCTCCAGATCTTGATATCGTTCAGAATCACGCTCATCCCTCCGCCTGTTAGAGGGTGCCTCATGTTGTATGCATCACCCAGGAGAAGCACTCCTGAAAAAAGAAGACACTCCTAAAATCAGTCGCAATCGAACAGCTACGACATCTTGTAATTTTTAGAAAAATCATGCAACCCTCAACAAAGTATTTATCATCGTCTAATGTGTTTACTTCAGGCTCATTAAATGCATTTTGCAGGTTTAAGACAAAGTTTGAATCCGGTGGCACCTTTAGGACCAACAAAGTTTAATTCTGGGTAGAAACTTTCATGTGTACAAACACTTCTTCAGATATCTGAGGAAGTGTGAATGCACACGAAAGCTTATACCCAGAATTAATCTTTGTTGGTCCTAAAGGTGCCACCGGATTCAAACTTTGTTCTACTGCTTCAGACCAACACTGCCACCCACTTGAATCTATTTGTGGGTTTAAGTCAGCTTATCCATGCAAGATGCATTCAGCGCACTTCTACACAAGCTGCTGAAAAGCAGTTCTGCGCCTCGGCTGCATTATTCATGACACTCTGAATGTTCCTAATGTGAGAGGGGATATAATTCTGCATTCTAGTCTCTGTTGGTCTCACATGACAGAAGACAGAAGCTCAAAAGCTGCTTTGCTTCTTGCATGCAAACACCCTGAAGCAGCTTGTAGGTCACACTTGCAGGGCAGAGGCTGTAAATAACAAAGAAGCCCCATAACACTAACATTCCTGACACTTCCTGCTGTTGAGACCTCCTACAAATGTCAGAAATACCAGAGTGTCAATACATACGAACTCGGACCCTTTTTTTGTTTAGCAGATACACACAATGGGACTTCAGGGTTGGGGGTTTGCAGAGCAGCTAATCAGTTTTAGGAAAGAAGCTCAGTTTCCTTACGTCTGAGAAATAACGTCATTTGCCAGTGCACAAAAACCTTTGGCTAGGATCCAAAGATCTAATCTTGCACACCTAAGGAATTTGTGGCTTCATGTTTCTCAGACAGCAGGGTCCCAGGACAGGTACCCACAATCTCTCAAAACTGAAGAGTCTTTCAAAAGTAACTTGGGATGTCATGTTAGGGACAAAAACGGGAACAAGCTTAACCCTGAAACCTAGGATCGAGAACTAAAGAGGTAAGTCAGAGTAGAGGGCCAACAATTAAAACTTAATCTATGTAATATAAAAACACATGTATTTACGAGGCCTCCCTTAAAAGGGACAATTAAAATGGACAAAACAGCTAAACAAAAGGGACAATTTTGCTGAGGACACTTTGGCTTGAACTAAAACGATCATTGGAAGGCACTTTATGGACCAGAAATTATTATCAGTGAAATATCATTTGGCATATGATTGGATCTTGGGAGGACTCGTTTATACATTTATTCTGTGCCTAGTGGTTTCACTTTGGAACAATTCGTTTCTGGTCCATTTTGTATCCATGTTGTATAACTGTACTGTATTACGGTATAAGCCAATTTGTTCCTCACTGTGTTTGACCTCCGAAGAAGGCCTAAACAGGCCAAAACGCATCAGGTCAAGTCCACTGGCCCTTGTGTGTATGATTTGGGTATTTTGATATGAGGTGTAAAGGGGGACGTCATGTTGACACAAAGAAAAGAAATCAAGGGCACGCTCTCCTCAAGTAGTGCATTTGATCCCACGCCCCATGCTTCCGGCGTTTGCCTCTCTTCAGTTTACAGACCTGCTTTGTTAACAGGGGAAGGCGGCAAAAAGCTCGCCGGCATGGCCCTCAGTCGATCGTTCTGAACAGCTACGAGGAATGGCTCTTGTATGTGTTCTGCAAAAAAAAAAAAAAACAACCCTGAAATTACACAATATTTCGGTCATTTCTAAACGTTTTTTTTTTTAATTCACGGAGAACTGTAAGGAAACTGGTAAAAGTGCAGAAGGAATGACAATTCTTCAGATGAGGAACTGTGTGATCCGGAAACTGAACGTCTGAGGAGAAGAGCACAGGTGTTCAGTGGTGGGTGGGTGGGGTGGGGTGGGGTGGCAAGGCCAGAGACCACGCTGATACCAGAGAATATCATTCAGCGACGCTCCATTCACCCTGTAAAATGCAGCATGCTTTCTTTGGGAATGTTGTCCCTCACACTTTGCTAGTGAATTCTTTAAAATATCCATAACCTTTAAGAACTTTACAGAATTTGTTCTAAACTCCCATTAAACTTCACCAAGCACATATATAGTTAAGAGCTGAGGTACAAATATTTAAAACAAGCAAACAGACATGGACGCAACGATCACCTCTTCTGGGAAAACACACACACACACAATTCCACATCCACGGCTCTTTTTGTAGCAGGAACTCCTTTGCATATTAGGCGACACGCCCCTAATGTAGCCAGTCCTCCAAGAGCTTATAGTAGCCCCTGTAAGAAGAGCTCTGTAAGTTAGTATTTAATTAGTATTTGGAGGGATTGCCCAATCAGTCTGCGTACCCATTGTATCAACTTGGTTATGTATGTTATATTGTCATATGCTTCCTATGTGTTGTAAGATTTTATTGTACTTCTTCACCCAAAGAGTGATTAACACATGGAATTCACTGCCACAGGAAGTGGTGGGTGCTACAAGCATGGACGGCTTCAAAAGGGAATTAGATAAGCATATGGAGCAGAGGTCCATCAGTGGCTATTAGCCACAAGGTATAGCTAGGGGCTCTGGGGCAAGTGATGCTCTGTCTTCTTAGTGCTTGGGGGGGGGGGGTTAACAGTGGGAGGGCTTCTAATGTCCTGGCCCCACTGCTGGACCTCCTGATGGCACTGGTATTTCTGGCCACTGTGTGACACAGAGTGTTGGACTGGATGGGCCTTTGGCCTGATCCAACATTGGCGTCTCTTATGTTCTTATGTTCTTATTGTATATGCTTCCTGTGTGTAACTCTGCCATACGATAAATAAATAAATAGTGAGTTTCCATACCACACAAGGCTGATGTACATCACATTCACACTCGATAACTAACCCTCTGCTGCACCAACACAGGCTGAAGGTGGGGAAACTGACTGTTCACTGAGTCAGCCAAGTGTCTGAACTATTCCAATCACAAAACAATTTAGAATCAAAAGGAATACACAAAGCATCAAATCAAGCAGATAATTCCTTCCAAAGTTCAGACATCCTTACCTGGCAACTGTGGATAAATTTCCTCGATCATGTATTCTTTAAGGTTCTTTGGCATTTCACCTCGAATGTCAACAAGGACACGAGTTTCACTGGAAGAAATCTGATAGATCAGCACCGGACTAGGATTTCCCAAAACGAGTTCAGCATGGTTGGCTTTATACTGAGGTGCATTCTTTAAAAAGAGGAAAGATATATATATATATATATTCAATTGCTCTTTGATTGTCTCAGTATGTGCTCAAAAGAATACATGGGATTAAGCACTGACTATGGACTGGGAAGGAGGCAAAAGGAGTGATAGGATCAGACAGGATCACCCTTAAAGATGAAAACGGAAATTGCTTCTAGTTAAGAGAAGTAATCCCTGCCCAGTGAAAAGGGGAGTGATCCTTGGTCTGTGTATATAGAAGAATTTTAGGGACTTGGTTACATGTTCCTGCATTCTAGACTTTAAGAGTCAGTGAAACTCAGAAACTTATGCTTGAGTGTTTAAGCAGAAACTGAAAAGAAAGCCTTTCTCTTCAATGTTTGAAAAGACCTTTTCGAATAGCAAAAACACTTGTTGGCAAGAAATTATCTGGAGTTAGTGTGATTACAAAGTTACCTCAATTTTATGATCAGCTCACTTCTTACATCCTACTCGGATTCCACCTGACCTTTTCCCCTCTAAGTTAAATAAAACATTTTGTTTATTTTGAACATTCAAAAGCTTCTCATGTGCCATTTGAAAAGCTGAATATAAGAAAGTGATTTTGTCTCTTCCCTCAGTTTTGTGGGCTGGGCCAGCATCAAAATATATAAACAAATAAGAAGACAGATAGGGGCTGCTCAGCAAGAAAGACAAGAAAGGGGGAAATCCTGCGTGCAAGGGAGGGAAGAGAGCGAGATCGATTGGGCAAATGGCTTAAATTCTGGATCAGTTCCTGATCTGGAAAATTACAAACAACTTATGTCCCAACAGTGTTGGAAGGCTGGGTGAGATGATGATTGTGAAGCATTTAAAATGCTACAGGAATAACAACAATCAGTATTTAAATGGAAGCACTCTTACAAAAGTGTCTTGATCACTGCAAGTAACGCATTGCTTTATGCACCCAAATTCGATAACAATTTTTTGGGGGGGAACACTTACCTTCAAAATGCAACCTACAAAATGGGATGGGACTTTAACTTTGTTGGAGACAAGATTCTTCCTAAACTTAGAAAAGAGACCATCAGCAACAACTGTAAGGGGAGCGTGGAGTTCCTGCAACACAAAGGATTGCAACGCACGGTCACAAGCTAGATAAGCAGCATCATGCAGCAACTTCCAGAGGCAGCCTAGTCAGGGACCTGCCTACTTGAGGAACTGCCTTTCCCCACATGTGCCCCAGAGAGCACTGAAGTCAGGGTCGCAACATCGTTTGACCCCCCTGGTCCAAAAGAAGCCAGGTTGAACATCACCAGAACCAGGGCTTTCTCAGTGGTGGCCCCATACTGGTGGGATGAGCTCCCAGACAACATCAGGGCCCTGCGGGACCTTTTACAGTTCCGCAGGGCCTGTAAAACGGAGTTCTTCCACCAGGCTTTCAATTAGGGGTTGCCACTGATGAATGTGCCCTGGAACATCTTCTGGCCTGAAATCTAGAACATCTTCTGGCCTGAGACTTCGCTGGATGCTACTCCTATCATTGGATGTGATTTGGATTATTGCCATCATCTGTCGGTTGTATTTTTGAAGTGTTGCTGTTTTTAACTTGGTACTGTATTTATTAATTGTTTTAGTCCCTGTATTGTTTACGTTATTTTAACTTTGTTAGCTGCCTTGAGCCAGCGTGCCCGGCAAGGCGGGATACAAATAGAAACAATAAATAAATAAAATAAATAGTCCCACCCAAGTTTTCAGTGAAAATTTCCTATCTGAAACATGCACATGTAATTGTAAGGTGGCTCAAAAGAAAACTGCACGGCATGCTTCTACAGCAGTTTGCCATGATCTTCTGCAGCATCATACATGAGATAAGGAGAACCCCTGCTAGCGAAAAAAGGTTACGTTTTCCCCTATGATACCCTTGTAGCAGTACTGTAAGTCTGGTGCCACACACGACATGGCATTTGCTGGTATCCAACTGTTTCACAGACAGTGCACCACAACATTTTGGGACGTGGCAGTGCATGTCTAATCACCTTCCAAATCTCCAGCCTAGTTAGGGTTGCCAGCTCGAAGTTGGGAAATACCTGGAGATGCTGGGGGTGGAGCCTGAGGAGGGTGGAGTTTAGGGATGGGAGGGACTTCAATGGGCATTATGCCATAGAGTCCACCTTCTAAACTGGCCATTTTCCCCCAGGGGACTGATCTCTGTTGCCTTCAGATCAGATGTAATTCCTGGAGATCTCCAGCCACAACCTGGAGGTTGTATAAATATAAAGACACTCCGTGAATGAATTACGAACATAAGCAGAAAAATTATATTGTATGAAACAATTCAAACATTGTGAAATCTTTGTTAAAGAACACACACACACACACACACACACACACACACATATATATATTACACAGAGCTAGGAACAAAAAGCACTTGATACAATGGGAGAATACAATTCCTTTGTATAAAAATCTTCAGGAGTGCAATAGTTCCACGTCATATGTGAGTACAGCTATACACGGCTGGCTTCACTGCCCCGTTCATGTTACGCTTCTTCAGATAGCTGGTACTCTTTAGCTGTGAACTGAAAATTATATTTCCATGTCATATTTACTATATTACAACACATTAACTGTTATCCCCAGTTGTCAGTACATACATACTCACTGAAATAGAGTTTCAACAATTCTCCTTCACTAGTTTTCCATTCGCTCCACTGATAGGTTCTCTTTCTGCCGATGAGGCTTCTGCAATAGTGATGGTGATTAACACACAGAATATTCCCCAGGAGTCCAGACTTCTAATATCAAATTTAGTGTGAATATAAGGTAAAGGATATGCATCCATAGCCAGGCTCCTGGAACAATGAATGGCTTGGGCTTAGGGTTGCCAACCTCCAGGTGGTTGTATATCAAAAATGAGAGCTCACGGGAGGAGATTGTCTAAATATTAAGACACTCCGTGAATGAATTACAAACATAAGCAGAAAAATTATATTGTGTGAAACAATTCAAACAATTTGAAATCTTTGTTAAAGATGTATGCATTTTTTTTACAGAGCTAGGAACAAAAAGTACTTGATACAAAGGGAGAATACAATTAGAGTCCACAATTCCTTTGTATAAAAAACTTCAGGTGCGCAATAGTTCCACGTCATATGTGAGTACAGCTATACACGGCTGGCTTCACTGCCACGTTCACATTACGCAATGTTTGAATTGTTTCATACAATATAATTTTTCTGCTTATGTTTGTAATTCATTCACGGAGTGTCTTAATATTTAGACAATCTCCTCCCGTGAGCTCTCATTTTTGATATACAACCACCTGGAGGTTGGCAACCCTAAGCCCAAGCCATTCATTGTTCCAGGAGCCTGGCTATGGATGCATATCCTTTACCTTATATTCACACTAAATTTGATATTAGAAGTCTGGACTCCTGGCTCCAGTCAGACCTTATAAGTTGGAGTCTCATAGTCTTGCTTGATGAAGGCATTAGAGAATGCTAGATTTTCTTATAACCACACAAGATCTATTACAGCCTGATACAAACAAGCTTGACTTCAGTTGGAGACCATATCAAGTATCGTCTGCTAAAGGAGGGTATTTGAGATGTTCTTGAAAAAGCTGCTGTTCTGTCTAGCGGCAGTGAAACCACTGGTTGACAAACAGACATTTCATTGGAAATGAAGAACTCAAAAGCTGCTGTTGAAAACGCTAATTGGGACTGCAAGCAAAGAAGTTTCTCAACTTTTGAAATACGAATTAATTTACGGAATGTTTGTCAACATGGGTACGTACCATGCTCAAGGAAAACTACAATTAATTAATCAAGTTCTCCCTGATCTTGCTTCTCGTGTATGTAATTACAATACGCAACCTGAAAGCTGTGTCATGTACTCCAAATTAGGACACAACTCGACCTTTTCTTTACCCCGCTTTATACCCACCCCCCTTTCTAATATAAAAAGCAATAAAGTTCTCTCCTTTTTAGGAGAGTTTATAAACGAAAAAGAAAAAGCTGCTGTCCTGTCTAGCGGCAGTGAAACCACTGGTTGACAAACAGACATTTCATTGGAAATGAAGAACTCAAAAGCTGCTGTTGAAAACGCTAATTGGGACTGCAAGCAAAGAAGTTTCTCAACTTTTGAAATACGAATTAATTTACGGAATGTTTGTCAACATGGGTACGTACCATGCTCAAGGAAAACTACAATTAATTAATCAAGTCCTCCCTGATCTTGCTTCTCGTGTCTGTAATTACAATACACAACCTGAAAGCTGTGCCATGTACTCCAAATTAGGACACAGGCTGATGTCAGAAGCAGATGATTGTGCACCGTCTTTCTCTGACAGGTAAGCCCTCTGACCAATCTGAGGCTTGAGTCCCTCCTTGTAAGAAGCAGATGCCCAGACAAGCATGACATGGACTGAAGTCTCAGAGGCAAGAGGGTCTGAGGGCGGGGACATGGAAGCGTCATGTGAGCTCCATTGCTACATCATTTCCAAGAAAAAACCCAGAAGTGACTTATGGTAGCCCTAGGAATTCCTGGAAACTCTATGGAAAAACAGAGTTTCTGGAGATTTCTAGATTTTTGTTTCCCCCCCTGCTGCCTGGAGTGTTGGCAGGCATCTAGGGCAGGCACCCACCATAGCAGGAGGCCTGGCCAGCCCTACAGATAAAAAACAGTACAAACAGACAGCATAAGACAACCAGGGACCAATGCAATAGAACTAGGATTACATAATTCGGCTGCGAAAACACACTAAATAATCCACTTTCCAACTGGATTTTGTTGTGTGAACGGGCAAAATTCAATTTGAAAGTGCACTGAAAGTGGATTGCAAGTGGATTATTTCATGTGTGTGACCGTGGCCTTAGAAGGCTTTGTGAAAAGCCTAATGGCAGTATAAAATACTTCAATTGATAATAGGGAATAGCCTGCTCCTCAAAGTGCAACGTAAGTGAAGAGAGTTAAATCTGTGAAAATCGGCCAACAAGATGTTTCCTAAACTCAACATGCCCCAGCCCATCCTCTTCCATAACTGTTAGTGTTGAGGAACTTGCAAACAGAACTTCCTTCTGGTTTCCCCTGAAGGTATCAGTCCCTACACAAGGAAGCAGAATCTGCAGAACCGGAAGACCACAGAGGAAGTTAGACAGACGTCTTTGCAACTTTGCAGCTCTTTGAGCCAGCAACGCCACACCCCCTGCCCTTTCTTGTCTCAGACCATCTGTGCAGACAGGTTACTCCTGAGTGGCTGAATTATTTATGAATATTCATGACACCACAGGATCTCAGCATTATACCCACAGAGGACTTATGGAAGCGATGAATATTCTATGCTCTTATGGGACATGTCCATTATGATAAAAAAAATCTAATAGTGGTATTCACAGAATAGGTTTAAACTGTGTTTTTCTTTCTTTATTTGGTCAGATTAATTTTGTCTTCACTTTAATTTATTACAAGGTCACGCAGGACCAGAAGGAATGGAATATCAGGCTACCAACAAAGGAAACCTGAAGACTCACCTTAGTGTCACCAGTTTCTTTCTCTCTGTACAAAACTCCCACCACACATTCCTCTTCCTCGAGCAACTTTAGCACTGTCCCTTCGATGAATTTTGTGCTGAAAGAAAGCAGATTCTTTTTCAAAACACACACACACACAAAATACTATTTTCTAATTCCACAGCACGGCAACTGCAAGTGGGCTCTTCAACATAGGAGAGACAGCAACGAACGGCAGCAGATATAAAGTATTCCCCTGAACAAAACCAGCTACACAGGCCGAGGGACCATTCTGATGATCTCCCTTGGACTAGTCCCCCTGAGAGTGATTCAACAGGTGAAGTGCTAAAGAAACAGAGGGGACACACCGAAGTCCCACAACCATCATCGCTACCTATCCAATGTACTGCAAGGTTGTAAGGAATCATAGATCTATGTGGTAGCACATTAGTTCCTCACTCCTTGGGGACTTACCACCCCGGCAAAACGCCATTATGGAGGGAGACAATGGCCATTGCTAGCACCAAGACACCCAACTGAGGGCTGGTGTAGAGTAACGGTTAGAGTGTTGGACTAAGACCTGAGATGTCAGGGTTTGAATCGCCCACTCAACCATGTAAGCCCACCAGGTAGGGTTGCCAGTCCCCAGTTGGGGGCGGGGATCCCCTGGTTTTGTTGGCTCCTGCCCAACCCCCAACCCCCCCAACAGCAATGTGGAGCGACGTGCCTACGTCACCCGGAAGTGACATAGGCATGTCAGTGATGTCAGGGGGGATGCTCTGGTTCTTGGGCAAAACTCTATGTTTTGAGGGCAATTTTACCACAGAGTCTTGCCCAAAAACCAGAGTGTCGCCCCCAACATGCCTAAGTCACTTCCGGGTGACATAGGCACGGCACACAATATCACTTCCACTGAAGTCGGCACGTTGGGGGCAACGCTTCTGGCTCCCCCGCCAGCGTCTCAAAGGGACCTGGTAACTCTACCACAAGGTGACGTTGGGCTCATTACAATCTCTCTGCGAGACCTACCCTCACAAGGTTGGTTTTGTGAGGATTAAGTGGAAGAGGGGGGAACTATCTGAAAACTCTCTTTGGGTTCCCAATCAAGGAGAAAAGCAAGATATTCATAATAATAATTACTTGGGAAAGCTGGAAGCAGCAGGAAAAGAGGAAGACTCAACATGAGATGGACTGACTCAATAAAGCCGCTGCCCTAATTTTGCAAGACCTGAGCAAGGCTATTAATGATAGGACGTTATGGCACTTAACACATACACAACAATAACAACAACAACAGATGTACAGAACAACAGCACAAGGCACAGCTGTTGGAAACAGGATAAAAACATAAGAAGAGCCCTGCTGGATCAGACCAGTGGTCCATCTAGTACAACATCCTGTCTCACACAGTGGCCAACGAGTTCCTCTGGAGGGCCAACAACAGGGCAGAGAGGCCGAGGCCTTCCCCTGATGTTGCCTCCTGGCTCTGGGATTCAGAGGTTTAGTGCCTCTGAACGTGGAGGTTCCCCTCAGTCACCATGGCTAGTAGCCACTGATAGTCTTGTCCTCCATGAATCTATCTAACCCCCTTTTCAAGGCTGTTTATTTCTGTGGCCATCACGACATTCTCTGGCAGCAAATTCGACATTTTAATCGCTCTCTGTGTAAAGCAATATTTCCTGTACTAGAAGGACTGTTGCTCTCATCCAGGCTGGTTACCCTCAATGTTCTTAGTTGAGGACAATACCAGGCCTGGCTACAACATGAACATAAAAACATAAACCCTGCTGGATAAGACCAGTGCATATAAGAACATAAGAACATAAGAGATGCCAATGTTGGATCAGGCCAATGGCCCATCCAGTCCAACACTCTGTATCACACAGTGGCCAGAAATACCAGGTGCCATCAGGAGGTCCACCAGTGGGGCCAGGACACTAGAAGCCCTCCTACTGTTGACCCCCCCATGCACCAAGGAGACAGAGCATCACTTGCCCCAGAGCCCCTATCTATACCTTGTGGCTAATAGCCACTGATGGACCTCTGCTCCACATGCTTATCTAATTCCCTTTTGAAGCCGTCCATGCTTGTAGCCGCCACCACTTCCTGTGGCAGTGCATTCCAGGTGAGGTCCATTTAGTCCAGCATCCTGTCTCACACAGAGGCCAACCAGTTCCTCTGGAAGGCCAACAACAGGGCATAGAGGCCGAGGCCCTCCCCTGATGTTGCCTCCTGGCTCTGGGATTCAGAGGCTTGGTGCCTCTGAACGCGGAGGTTCCCCTCAGTCACCATGGCTAATAGCCCCTGAGAGACCTGTCCTCCATGGTGTCCAGCCTGCCCGGAGACAAACCTGCAGCAAGCCATGGGGGTGGGGAGGAGAACTGCACGTTTGGTAACTTGGGTGGATTCATTTACAAAGATCGGCATCCAGTTTACAGCTACAGTTCTAGCTCCAGCAGACTGTTAGACAGTGGTGCATTTGCCTCAAGAGGGGCAAGGAGCTGGAAGGAGAAACACATTTAAATTGAAACAACAAGGAATTTTTGGGCAGGAACGCACAGGAACGGAGTTCCGGCTGGCTCCCAAGTTGACCACGCCCAGCAGGAACTCATTAGCATAATAGGCCACACCCAACAGCAGGAACTCATTAGGATTGGCTACATTAGGGGTGTGTGGCCTAACATGCAAAGGAGTTCCTGCTACAAAAAAAAGCCCAGAGTTTTGATAACAAAGTAAACAGAATAAAAAGCAAAAGGTGGGTGTGGCTGGATGACTACACTTCTGGTAACATGGGGTGTATGGCCTAATATGCTAATCAGCTGTGCTGTCAGGGGTGTGGCTTAATATGCTAATGAGTTCCTGCTGGGCTTTTTCTACAAAAAAAGCCCTGGAAACAACTGGAGCCTCTGCCTCCACCAGGCAATGTGTGAGCAGGGTCCAAAACAGAAGGTCTTATTAGTCATGCTGCCATCCACCCTTACTTGGGCTCAGCCATGGCCATCCTTCGGAGACCCATGATGAAACGTCCATGATGGAATGCTCTTCCGCTCTGCACTCGGCCATTCGACCTTTGAGGGTAAGGGATTTCAACCTCGGACTGGCTTTCCAGGTCGTGAACGATATAGCCGTTGACCGTGTGAGCATCGATCCCTTCGACCACCCCTGCAAAATAAATGACAAAAAGCCTGCCTGTAACAAAAGAGCGATCTATATGAGATCACACAGCCACATTCAATATGACTTCATCTACGGTAGAGTCTGGCAATAGACATTCGCCCCAGCCTGATGCAACCGGAATCTGGCTTGAGTCACAAAAACTTAAAAGAGTTCTCAGTGGAAGAGGCGGGCTCTTTTTGTAGCAGGAGCTCCTGGGTGTGTGGCTTAATATGCAAAGGAGCTCCTGCTACAAAAAGAGCCCTGAGTCTGCTATGATTTTCCCTCTGTTTACAGAAAAGTAGGTTTCTAGCTTTTATCGCTCCCGTGAGACATTTGAAAGTGCAATCGCAGATTTGTTGCAGGCCCTACAGCAACTTTTAAAAAATCATGCTTTGTTTTTAAATCAAATATTTTCAAGAACCTAGAAGTTTTCACATCAAAGAGTAAAAAAAACCCCCACAGAATAAGAATAGAATAAACATGGGCCACCTGGTTCATACTAACATGGGAACAAGTATAAAGATTAAGTCGTGTTTGTCCACATTTGTCTCATACTAACATGGCACAGAACTGACTAACCTCCCTCTCTCCCCCAGTATTCTACAAAATTACCGGCAACCAGTGTTCCCCCTAACCTGAGTTAATATGAGCTAGCTCACAGTTTTTTTAGCCTCCGGCTCACACATTTTGGTCTCATCTTAGGAAGGATGGCTCCAGAGCAAACTATTTTATGCAGTGGCCAAATCTCTCAGTCACAACTTTAATGCCAGTAGCTCACAAAGTAGAATTTTTGCTCACAGGACTCCACAGCTTAGAGGGAGCATTGCTGCTGCAACCCTTCAGCTCAAGATATATTGCTGGTATAGTCCTTGTTGCAGAACAAGAGCGAGTGTGCCTTCCTGAGGGGAGGGTGTTAAGTGGTTAAGTGCGCGGACTCTAATCTGGGAGAACCGGGCTTGATTCCCCACTCCTCCACTTGCAGCTGCTGGATGACCTTGGGCAAGCCATAGTTCTGACAGAGCTGTTCTCTCAAGGACAGCTCTGGAAAGAGCTCTCCCAGCCCCGCCTACCTCACAGGGTGTCTGTTGTGGGGAGGGTAAGGGAAAGGAGCTTGTAAGCCACTCTGAGACTCTGAGTAAAAGGCGGGGTATAAATCCAATCTCTTCTTCAGATTCAGGAGCTCTAGACCCATATCTCATCTATCCCAGCATGCACTTTCCTTGTCAGAAGTTGTCCTAAAACAATGCTGCTAAAAATGGCCTGCTGGTTTGGTACAATTTTTGGATTACACTGTATATTAAACAAAATTAAGCGAAGCAATGAACCTCTTGTGCACATCATGTGTTTTTTTCCTTTTGGGTGGGGTATTTCTCTTGCATTTTGTGTGTGTGCCCGTGCCTGGCAGTCATGGCGACCCCTGGCGACTCCTACTGGGGCATGGAGGACATTCAGAGAAGTGGCTTGACAGCCTGACTCTGCCGTCTCAGCACCGGTATTCTTTGAAGTCTCCCGTCCAAATACTTGCCAGGGTTGGCCCTGCTTAGCTTCCGAGATCTGACAAGATCGGGCTTGCTTGGGCTATCCAGGGCAGGGCATCGCACATCGTGTTCTTGCCTGGCATGGAGTTGTGAGATTAACCTGCCTACTGTGGAGTTGTGACATTAACCTGCCTACGGAGTGGACACTCCCCAAAATAATAATACTGAGCTACATACCTATGTTTTGACGCATTTCTAAACCTGAGCTGTTTCTCTAGACCCATGCTACTCTAGTTGCTGAATGCCTAACCCTTCAGTCTCGGATAGCCAAGTGCTAGGACAGTTGGTACATTCCTACGACTGAGATGGCAACTTGGGAACACACGTCATTCTCAATCGGAGCGACCTCTCACATTCATGAAGATGCGAGATGAAGACAGTTTTAGAATTATCTGAGTTACACGCTGCTGCTTCACTCCTAGGTATAGATGCCTTCCCCATGGCCCTGTGTTTGCTCTCTCTTTGTCTGTTTTCTTGAGGCTCTTTCACCCTACAAGGTTAATAAAAACTCATGGATTGGAAGAGGAGGAGGAGGAGGAGGAGGTAGAGACTGGATTTATACCCCGCCCTTCACTACCCGAAGGAGTCTCAGAGCGGCTTACAATCTCCTTCCCCTTCCCCTCCCCCCACAACAGACACCCTGTGAGATAGGCGGGGCTGAGAGAGCTCTCTCGAGAACTACCCTTGAGAGAACAGCTCTGAAAGAATTTATGTTTGTTGTTGTTCAGTCGCACAGTCGAGTCCGACTCTTCGCGACCCCATGGACCAGCTCCCGCCAGGCCTTCCGGTCTTCCGCCGTCCTCTGAAGTTGGCTCAACTTCATGTTCGTTGCATCTATGACACTGTCTAACCATCTCATCCTTTGCCGTCCCCGTCTTCTTTGACCTTCA